GATGGCTGGTATCAGAAAGGACCAGGCAATCCTGACATGGTCCGGATGCAGAGGACGCGCTGAACCGTGAACCCAGCCTGGCTATGTCTTCATGCGAATTTGGAACCTCAGAAGACCGGTGAAAGAATGATCAGGGTACCAGGACTTGGGGGCGGAAGGGGAGGCCTCAGGTGTGGGGATGAGGGGCACAGAGGGCAAAAATAACACTCTGATGTCGCCAGGTGGGTGAAATCAAAGACCAGGCGCTCTGACTTCCAACTGATTACCATCTACTGCTAGCGACTGTGACCTTTACCGTGATCCTCATCCGCTTGCCCGAAAGCGGCCCGAAAGCAGATTTCCCATGGATTTGCCTACGTAATACTGGAGAATGCTGGAATGCTTTTATCTACTACACATCCTCTCAGTGACAAGATTCCCCTGGAATGTCACAGAACGTGCATTCTCAGGGCTGAGTTCTGGGCTGAATTGTGTCCTCACCAAAAATTCCTACGAATATGGGGCTAAAGTGCTACCCCCTGGTACGTACCTCAGAACGTGACAGCATTTGGAGACAGGTTCGCTAAAGAGGTCACTAAGTACAGTGGGGTCGTTGGGTGGCCCATAACCCAACTCGCCCGCTCTCTTTATGAGAAGAGGGAGCCTGGACACACAGACCTCAGACGTGTGCGCGCACGGGGGAAGGACCATGTTGAAGACACAGACAGAAGTCGGCCACCTTCAAGAGCGGGAGGGACGCCTAGAAGAGACCCTCCGTCACGGCCGTCAGGGGGCTCGATGCTGCCGAGGACACGTGGGTCTGGCTGTACGGCCTCCAGAACTGTGAGAAAGGACGTTTCTGGTAGCTAAGCCCCCGGTGGGTGGCACCCCGATGGAGCAGCCTAGCAAGTGCCCGCAGCAGGTGCACACACGGTCCTGTGCCGCCATGTGGTCTAAAGCAATGTGGGCTCGATAGGGACTCCCCAACAATCCACCCGCAGGCCACCTACCGCCAGCTCTCCTCTTTACCCGCACTGACTGGCTTCCTCCAGGACGTGCACAGGGCCACACTGGCTCCTGCTCCTGGCTGGCCCCTATGCCACCCGGAACGGACTATTCTATCCTTTCTCACCTGCTTCAAATCCCTCCTCAGGAGCCCCTTCTGCCCCACGGTGCTTACGCACATTTCAACAGAATTCTTCTGGAAGCTACTCCAGACTATTTCCAACTTCCATTCCTTGAGCTAAGATAACACGACGACATCTACGTTCCGCTTGGTCCCATCCCGAGGGCGTGTAAACAAGCACGTCCGGCTGCCTCAGTGATTCAATCCCCCAGGACTTAGGTCATCGTCGCTTTGCGGTTCCTGCTCTGTGTGGCCTCGCCGTCCCCAAGCCACCCCAACCGCTCCCCCAGAAGTTGCACGTGTCTGCCCGCCACGTGGATCAGCCCGGAACACAGGACAGGGAGGAGGCGCTGGTCTCGGCAGCTTCACCCCAAACACCCCTGCACGGATCCACCGACTACACGGAAATCCATCAGTCAACTCACTCTGGGCTCAAGGAGGCTTCCGCTGTCAGACCTCCAGGAGGCAGGTCCCTGCCGCCATCGATTCCGCTGCGAGAATTAACAGGCGACTGCTGGCTAGTGAGACGGCGGCAAGCCAGGCACCGAGGACGGGGGCACAGAGCGAGATCTGGAGGGGAGAAGGAGCGGGCACACCGGAACCAGACTGGTCAGTCGGCGGGGAGGAAGGAGGCAGCAGCGGCACCGTTCGTGGGAGGAACACCTTGCGTCTGTAAAGGTTATGGGGTTCGCGCAGCCCTTCACACTGATCCCCTCACCTTGTCCTAACAGTGAAAGAGAGGCAGCACACCCACCCGCAGCTCAAGGTCAAGGACTTCAAAGCCCAGGAGGCTGGGGGGTCAGCAAGCCATGGGCAGAGCCCCAAAGCCAGGTCGGGCGCTGCTGGTGGTGCAGTGGCTGCGGGGTCACAGGCGTCGACGCCCGCGTCTGGATAAAACCCACGCTCCGAGGCCCATCGGTTTCAGAGTCTTACCTGGCCCCCCCCCCCCCAAACCTCAGTTTCTCCAACACAACATGGATATCAGGAAGATCTCTGGGAGCTCAGCGCATGCCTGGGACCTGGGAGGCGCGTGGCAGACGTGGGCTTTCAGCTGGCACCTCAGGTGGGCACGAAGCGGCGGCCTCACCTGACCCGTGAGACACATCTGAGGAGACTGCCCCGCATGGCTGCGACCCGGGCCTCCCACCAGGCTGCCCACTGCGACTTCGCAAGTGTCCAGCCCTGCCACCTGTATTTCTTTTCTTTCTCTATCTCTCTCTTCTTTTTTTTATTGTTTGTATAAATCTCTTGGGTTTCTGAGATGCCCAGTGCCACCATCAAGAACAAAGGGTAGAGGCGCCTGGGTGACTCCCTCGGTTGAGCATTCGACTCAGGCTCAGGTCATAATCTTGTGGTTCATGGGTTCAAGCCCTGCATTGGGCTCTGTGCTGACAGATCAGAGCCTGGAGCCTGCTTCAGATTCTCTGTTTCCCTCTCTCTCTCTGACTGTCCCCTACTCATGCTCTGTCTCTCTCTCTCTCAAAAATAAATGAACATTAAAAAAAAAAAAATAACAGAGGCTATAGAGCTGTATTTCTCAAATTGTAAGGTGCATTCAAATCCCGAAGATCCTTGTTAAAAATACCTGAAGATCTGCATCGGGTGCCTGGGTGGCTCAGTTGGTTCAGCGTCCAATTCTTGATTTCAGCTCAGGTCACGATCTCACGATCTATGAGTTTGAGCCCTGTGTCAGGCTCCACACTGACAGAGCAAAGCTTGCTTGGGAACTTCTCTCTCCCTCTCACTCTGCCCCTCCCCAACTCGTTCCCTGTCTCTGTCTCTTTCTCTCAACGTAAATAAATAAACATTTTTTTTAAAAACTTTAAATGCAGATTCAGGAGAGCCTGGCTGACTCCAGTTAGTAGAGCATGCAACTCTTAATCTCAGCATAGTGAGTTCAAGTCCCACATTGGGCGTGGAGCCTTCTTAAAAAAGTTTTAGGGACACCTGGGGGGCTCAATCAGTTAAGTGTCCCACTTCAGCTCACGTCATGATCTCATGGTCCATGAGTTCAAGCCCTTGCATCAGGCTCTGTGCTGACGGCTCAGAGCCTGGAGCCTGCTTCAAATTCTGTGTCTCCCTCTCTCTGCCCCTGCCCCACTCATATTCTGGCTCTCTGGCTCACTCTCTCTCTCTCTTTCAAAAAAAAATTTTTTTTTTAATATTTTTATTTTATTTCTAGGAGAGAGAGAGACAGCGTGAGCAGGGGAGGGTCAGAGAGAGAGGGAGATACAGACTCTGAAATAGGCTCCAGGCTCTGAGCTGGCAGTCAGCACAGAGCCCGACGCGGGGCTCAAACCCACGAACCGCAAGATCATGACCCAAGTGAAAGCCGGACGCTTAACCGACTAAGCCACCCAGGCGCCCCCCAAAAAATTTTTTAAATCAAATTGTTTCAGAAACGCGTACCCAGAAGGTCTGGGGCAAGATCTGAGATTCTGCTTCTAACACGCTCATAGGCAGTGCTGACGCCACCTGTGCAAAGGTCACACTTTAAATGACAAGGATACGGAGACTGTCCCAGGAGTGAAGATGCGTAACAAGCGAGAGGGGACTAAAAGAACGGCAAAACCCACGAGGCCCGATACATAAGGTGGCCCCTTCCACATCCTTAAATGACACAGCGAAGAGGTGTAAGCAGAGCCTGACACATAGCACACTCCTGTCAGGGGGTAACTGTTACTGTCCGTCATGATCACTACCCCTGCGACCGCAGAGGTATTCAGATGCCCCCCCACCCCCCCACCCCCTCTCCAGTTGGCTCTGCTAGCTACGCCTTTACTCTCTGGACTTCTTGACGGACGGCCCTGACTACACCATGGACCCCTTGCTCTGTGTTCCGTTTGGTGGGCCCTGGATAGCTGCCCTCGCCCGCTGCACCCCGCCGGAGAACCATCTGGCCCACTTCAGCTTCTTCCAGACCCTGCCCGGGACACAACGCGCCCCTCCCAGACTCCTGGGCTTCATTTCCCCACGGAAACAACTTGGGATTCCACTTGGCTGCCTGTCTTTCATGATCTCTTTCTCTATCCCTGGATCACACGCTCCCAAGGTCTGGGGTCGACAGGAAACTGTTCCCTTCTCCTCCGCTTACCCCAGGGACATGGTCTGCAATCCCGACTGCATATCGTACTTACCTGGGTCCCCCCCCCCCCATGCCCCTCCTCGATGTAACTGTCTGACGTGGGCCAGTAACTTGTGGCCAAAGGTAAAAAAGCACTGCCCTTGGGAAGCCACGTTATTCCTAACTGGGACCTAAGCAGAAGCAAGCCACTCTGCGGAATGAAAGCACCATCCCCGGCGGCGAAGACGCCTCTGCGCTAAGTTCCTTTCCTTGAACCATCGCGATGGTTCCCGCGATGAAGTTACAGGAGTTCCGGAAGGAGGGGAGGGGGGCCAGTTCCAAAGAGGTAACCGCACGGGGATCATGAACCCCAACCCTGGAGAGCTGGCCCGCTTCTCCGGGCCTTCCGGCAGGGCGGGGTGCACAGCGGCTGTCCCCTCCCTGGCATGGGAGTGGCTCACGGGCACAGAATGGGCCAGAGAAAATAAACACCCCTCTTCCCCACACAGGTCCACACGTGACTTGAGGAGCTGAAGAGGCAGCTAGCGTAGCAGAAAGCACAACCGAAGAACGCAGAGGAGATTTCCCGGCTCCATCCGTGTTCTGCTCAAACAGTCTTCCCTCGGGATGAGAGTCCACCCAACATACCTGGTTTACTAAATCCAGAAAATCAGAGAATGCTACGCTGAAAGATCACGCCAGGGCAAACACTGTAAAGGACCTGGATACAGTCTACTAGTTGAATCGAGCCGCTCAGGAAACACACCCGTGATCCCGGCAAAGGATACTTTCCACCCACCCACATAGTCCCCGGGGAGGAAAACGTCATACCTGATGAGATCGGGTTCTGCACCCTCGTTCTTAAAGGACGCCAGAAGTAGCCTCTCCCGAGTTAGGAGCTCGTCCAGGAGGTTCTGTCTTCGGTCCCCTTCAAGCTGCGTTCTGCACACATCTCGTTAAGGTCCAATGAATGGTGGTTGGGTGAATGACCTCAGTTGACCTCTCACGTTACTAAGTGAGCTCCCCCCAGCTCAGCTGTGCCGGCTACAGACTCTGACCGGTACTGGCCGGAAGACACCTGTTCTCCTCCTCCTCTGACCTTTGACACCACAGACTTCCCAAGGAAAGGACCCCGGACAGAACCATAGCAGAGGCCTTGCAAACATGGGCGCCGGCCCGCCGCTGAGAAACAGCAGGCAGATTACTCTTCCTCCCAGCGACCAAAGCCAAAATGATTATTCCTATCAACAGAGCAATCCAGGTCAGGGATGCCTCGGGTTCTGAGTTATAGGGGTCCGTGTCCAAGGGTGTCCACCTAGACATCAGCATCCCCAAGAGACTCTGTAAATGATGAGAGGGGGTTCTTAATAACGTCTTCTTTCTTCCGTGTGAACGCCTATTCACACACTGCAATCGATTTTGAACAGTGCTACTCTGTGTGACACGTTTGCTCTGAACGCTGTTCATTATTTAGATACACGGCATGATCCTTAAACTCTAAAGAAAACTGCAAGTAAACATTGGGGTTTCACTGTGTTTTCCTGGTGAGCGGGTTAAAGCGGGAGTCCAAAGTTATTCGTCTGGTTTTGACCATCATCTACAATCTTGAACAGCTATTCACGTTTGCGGATCTCTCTCTCTTTACAGGAATGCTAGATTATCTCTAACACCTCTTCCAACACAATTTATAAGTTATGGCTAAAAAAATATTAATAATAATAAGTCAGGGCTACATCCAGAGTTTTCTGTACTAGCTTTCTTGAAGCAAGTGAAGCGAGTTCTTCTAGGCTGAATGCAGGTGAGCGTTGTGTGCGTGCTTAAAAACAAAATAAAATGTTGATGGAGAAAGCTTCGGCTATAAAAAGAACAATGGGAAAAAGCTAACAGATACATTTTTAAAGTTTATTTTGAGAGAGAAAGAGAGAGAGGGAGGGAGAAAAAGAGAGAGGCAGAGAGAGGAAGAGAAAGAGAATCCCAAGCAGGTTCCACACAATCAAGGCAGAGCCCGATGTGGGGCTCGAACTCATGAACCATGAGATCATGACCCGAGCCAAAGTCGGAAGCTTAACCGACTGAGCCCCCCCAAGCGCCCTCACAGATACTTCTGTAAGGACATATCTGACGTAAGACATACAGAGTACAAAAATAAGCCATCGCAGCATAATGGATTTTAGCTGGCTTTGAGTTTTTTTAGTGGATGGCTTATTGTTTTATTAGACCTGAAACTGGTAATCAGAGTCGCCTGGGCCACGTTACCTACTTCTGGTAATTGTAAGACATGAGTGAGGTGGCTGCTTTACATTCAGAGACGCTTTTCTGCTTCAAAGAGGGACATCAAACCCTGCACGTGGGCCCAAAATATTCCCCAGAAGTTGGCAGGATCAAATGGTAGCATCACCATTTCCGGGGGGAGGGGGAGGCTGGCGTGGGGGAACCATGGCCCAGGGAATCCATAACTTTGGTTCCTAGTTTTGGATAGAAGGAGCTAGACTGCCAGCAAAATAATCACGATTTAAAAAAAAATTTTTTTAGGCCCTTGAAGAAATTCTCCAGTAACAGCAGTCGGTAAAATTTTAAGTCCCCAAACCAATGAGGCTAAGCAGCATCAGCGGCTTTATCTATTTAAAAAAATAATAAGTGAATAAACGAATTCTCTCCACATCCCAGAACGCCAGGCTTCCCCGAGGAAAATCGCTACCGTGGCTTTTCCGCTTCCCACTCGCCTGTAACCGTCCCACCTTGGACACCACAGGGTAGCAACTGTAACTAAGAAACAGCAGGCTGAAGGGCTGAAATACCTCCTCCGTGCCAATAAGAAGGCCAATCATTGGCCTTTTGATCACTGCAATACCGAGAATAAATATCCATGTGTTTCAATTAGTGGTAAATTGGCAACAAGGCAGAAGGCTTTTCTTCCGTCCCAAAGAAGTTCATGGTGGGGGGCGAGGTGGGGGGGGGGACAGAAGCAGTGGGCATGAATTGTATGGGACAAACCGGGCATTTTCATTTGTGGAAACTGTTAATGGCACCACAATACTAACTAGCCATGCTCTGTGCTCTGTACTCGGGCCGTCTGTGTTCAGCCACCCGGGAAAACAGAAGCTGAACTACAGTCCATTCTTACGATGAAGCGCAGATATCCCGGGCTCAGGAACTTTTCAGTAATCTCGGAATAGGAAAAAAAATCTTTCTCGTCAAGACTGAAAACACAGAAACCGTGGAAGGAAAAATCCAATCTGACTATACAGAGATTAATTTAAATATCTGCGAAATAAATTTGTAAGTGACAAATGGGTAGTGGCGAAAAGGAAGGTAAAGACATAGAGGAGCACAGAAAAAAGAAACAGTAGTTAATTCTCACCGAGTGGAAAAACATTCAGCTTCACATAGTAAAAGAGGTGCAAACAGAAACACAGTATCACCTTCACCTATCAGATTAGGAAAGTGTGGCTCGAGGTCGGAAGCAGCCACTCTGATACTGTTGGCGGGATTGTAACAAATCCAATTAATCGCCAGGCTGCCTTCTAAATAACAAAATGTTGGGGCGCCTGGGGGGCTCAGTGGGTTAAGCGTCTGGCTTCAGCTCAGGTCATGATCTCATGGTTCAAAGGTTCGAGCCCTGCATCAGGCTCTGTGCTGACAGCTTGGAGCCTGGAGTCTGTTTCGGATTCTGTGTCTTCCTCTCTCCTAGTCAAACTCCATCTCTCTTTGTCTCTCTCTCTCAAAAATAAAAAACATTAAAGAATTAAAAAAAAAATTTTTTTTAACATTTTTATTTATTATTGAGAGACAGAGAGACAGAGCACGAGCATGGGACGGGCAGAGAGAAGGGGAGACACAGAATAAGAAGCAGGCTCCAGGCTCTGAGCTGTCAGCACAGAGCCCGACACGGGGCTTGAACTCACGAACTGCGAGATCACGACCTGAGCCGAAGTCGGGTGCTTGACCGACTGAGCCACCCAGGTGCCCCAACATTGAAGGATTTTTAAGTAACAAAATGCAAAAGGCACATTGTTTCAAGAAGACTTTCTCCTGCAGATATATTCACATTATCTACAGCCAAGACTCTGGACCAGGAAACTGGCCCCATGCGGCTGTCACCTGGCCGCTTAGTGGCCATGCCGGGCTCCAGCCCAGCTCTTCCTGCTTTAGGTCAGGGCTTTTCCACCACATCATGCTGGACCTGACCGCTACGCTCTCCGGGGGCTTCTCTACCCCGGGGCTCCCGTACTGTCCCCATTTAACCTCGCCTGTTGAAAGCAATTACAATACTAGTAATACTCATTCGGAATTGTCCCAGGGACCCCCTGCTAATCTGGGAAAGCTGGAAAATTCATCAGTTAGGAACACCCTCCTTTTTTGATTTTGATTTTAATCTACTGAGAGAATAGTAGCATAGTAGATTAACAGCTCTTCTGCATAGCACACTTCTCATACAGGGGTTGTTGCTAACAAGAGGCCCGAGGCTCATCCAGAAAGGACCAGGCTACACGTATGCAGACTGATGGCAGCTGGGAGGAGGGTAGAAAAGAGGGCACACGGTCAGTGGCCAGAGCTGGGAACCCCTCTTCCACCAGCCTGATGAATAGCCAGGGAAGAGAGGTCGGAGAGCAGACAAAGCCATAGTTCTCTGTCAATGGCTAGACTGGTTTCATATAAAACTAAAGCCACATCACGGAGATGGAAGATCATATATGAAATCAGCCGCTGATTTCATATTACAGGGCCTTACCAACTATGTGTGTGGATTTCATATTACTAGTACTTACTAACTACCAATGGGCTGAAGCCCAGCTTCTCTGGAGAAACTTGATAAGCACTTAATTAATTAATTTAATTAATATTATTGTTTTGAGAGAGAGGGCCCAAGTGAGGAAGGGGGAGAGAGAGAGAAGCCCACAAAGGGGGGAGGAAGAGAAGCGGGGTTCTCCCAAAGCCGGGCTCATGTTTGCCCGGCGTGGGGCTCTCACCCTTGATCAGCACTTTAAACCTAAGATGAGGTGGAGCAAAGATACTGCTGGCCCTCCTGGATGCCCCGCCCCGACTCCAGCACCTGGCTCCTTTCTTGCTAGAAGGCTTAAGAATGTTGGCAAGATTTGGGGCGCCTGGGATGGTTCGGTCGGTTAAGCCTCTGACTCCGGCTCAGCTCATGATCTCGCAGCTCGTGAGTTCCAGCCCCGAGTCGGGCTCTGTGCTGTCAGCTCGGAGCCTCCTTGGGATTCTCTCTCTCCCTCTCTCTCTCTCTCTGCCCCTTTCCCACCCACTACCTAAAAAACAAATCAAAACAAACTTTAAAAAAGAACATTGGCAAGTTCTGCTCGTGAATTAATGGCTCCGGAAAAGGGAGAAGTGTGCAGGGACTTATTTTTTGGTGCCATCACAGAGCCACTTTAAGAGGACAGCTCAGTCTAAGGTCCCAGAGGCCACACTTTTCTGGTTCACGTACTACTTCATCCTTTTTTTCTTTCTTTTTTTTTTTTTTTTTAAAGTTAACAAACCCTACTGAGTATGTATTCAAGGCCGGGACCTTAGCTTTCTGGAAGCACTGATCACAGTTTGCAAGGGCTATTTTAATACCAGCGTTTCTTGCGTGCTTGGAGAGGACCTCATTACAGGACTGTAGACTCTATGAGGACCACCTGTAAGTCCCCCGTGGTGGCTGAACTTGTTACAATAGTGACAGAAGCATAAGCAGCAGCTAATCCCCAAGGAGGGCTCACTGCACACAAAGCACCTTCTGTGAACGTTCCTGAACCCTCGGCAACCATTCTGTAGGCCAGGTGTACTTTCATCAGCCCCATTTTACAGACGAAGAGTAAACAAAACAAAAAACAAGGCACAAAGGGGTTAAGTAACTTGTCCAAGGTCACTCACACAGTCACTCAGTGTTGAAAGCTACCTTTTCTTGTCACCCCCTGGGAGGAGGCACCGGTCCTGTGAGGGGCTTTAAATAGCTTTCCTCTGGCTTCTACAAAAACCTTGCCAGGGGAGCATATTTAATTCTACTCTAGAGAACAGGCTGAATCGCGCTCTGGCCTTGAGGAAGGGGCGGAGCTGGTGCTCAGTGTCACTTCCGTCTGGGTCCACAGGCCTTGTCGCCACTACAGCAACAGTGCCAATTTCTGGACTTGGTGGAGAAGAGTGTCCCCACAAATCGGGGGGGGGGGGGGAAGGAGACTCTCGTAAAGGCTGCCAATTATACATTTTGCCAGGTATGGATTTAAAAAAAAAAAACCAGAGCAGACCAAACTGCCATCTACTTTTATTATCTTGGTAACAAAGCAAGGAGCTTTTTAACATGGAAAACTAGAAAGAATGTGACAGAGTATAAATCAGACAATCCCTGCCGACATAAAAACGGCCCTGTCCCTATTCGTCTCTGGAACTGTCACACGGACAAGCAGCGTGTGTGAGAACTGCTTCACCTCCACTGGAGCCACGAGGGGCGCTCCCTAAAATCTAAATGTTGGGTTGGCCCCCCATCATTTGCATTCATTCGGTTATGGCGATCGCTGCATCCGTCCACCCATCTACCTGTCTTCCTACGCTTTTACCCCCCCAAAAAGACAAAAGGGAAAAGCTATTCAGGAGTAATGGGGGGCTCAGTGGGTTAAGCATCCAACTCTGGATTTCGGCTCAGGTCATGATCTCACGGTTGGGGAGTTCGAGCCCTGCGCTATCAGTGCGGACCCTGCTTGGGATTCTCTCTCTTCCCCTCTCTCTCTCTGCCCCTCCCCTGCTCGCACCTTACTTTTTAAAAAATATTTCTATAGGACTTCTCCCAAGACTCCAGAATACCTTTTTATTGGGAACCCCTTGGTACAGAGACTTTAAAATTCTCCTTAGTCAAGACGCTGCCTTTGAAAACCCAACAGAAAGACGAGATGGCATAAGGCCAATTCTAAGAATAATTTTACTACTACCTGACGTTTCACATACAGCCTCCCGCAGCACATGACTTTCCTCAACCAGAGAAGCAATGAATCACTCCTGTCTCCGAGAAGCACTGTGAATAGGAATTCATGGGTTTCAGCAATTTTACACTCTCTGGCTGCAGGGCTTTGGTTTATGAATCACAAACTAACCAACTCAAAAGCACAGGCCTTTTGTGTTAACTTCACATCCCTTCTGGCCAGGGGAACATACTTCTCAAAGAAACAGCACCAGTGTCTTGGGCCTTAACGCCATGAATTTAGTTGTTTAGAAGGTGTGTGCCTAGGACTTATGTTGCTGGCAATCCCCGGTGTTCTTTGGGAAAGCTTCACAAACACATAAATTCATTAAGTAAAGCGCTGCAAACTCTCAACTACCCAACGCAGTACGGGAATGAGGTGCTCAAATAGTCACGTTAAAAAAAGTCGCCCAGCATTAATTACGCCTCAAGAAAAGAAAGAATTAAACTGTCACTCTGTTGACTATTTATGGACAAAAAATTTTCGAAGAATTACAACGTCATAAAGTATACCTAATAAAGCACGGTGAACACTGTTTAATCTCTCTGATGATTAAGGAGGGCCCTGAGGATTTGCATTATAAACAGGATTTGTTTTGGCACTAGAACAGCCTGCCAATTAATGGGGAATTCTAGCTGAAGACACGCCAGGTGACAGATGACTGTGTTATTTCTACTGAAGAAGAATTCAGCTTTTAAACAACCGGCTTTGGGGCCAGAACGGCCCCGCAGCTGAGTCTAAGCTCTTCCACTCCCCGGCTGTGGGGTCTGGGGCAAGTTACTTAAGCTCTTAGATTCCTCTCCACAGCCTAACACACTCCCCTGCTGGGACGCAGGATTCTTTTTCTAGCTCCATCCACAGCTTGGGGCACAAAGGTTGACCTGGCCTCACTACCTTTTTTTTTTGTTTTGTAAAGAAAATGAGGAACCACAGACACAAGCCAGTAATACGAGGTCATTAGGGCTCACGAGGGGCTATCTGACACATCTTAGATCTGGAAGATACCTACTGTGGAAATTATTTGAAATAGTTAGGAAGAGGAAGGCCGAGGGAAGGGAAGATGCGGGGGACAGGAGAAGAGTTAAGAACAGGCCTTCAAAACAGAGAAACTACCTCCTTTCCACTCTAGCAAAAGAAATGGTCTCCCTGCAAATACAGAGGCCTTGAGCGCCCCCATGGGGCGGGTGATCTGAATTTGGTCCCCAGTGCGGGTGGTGTTTCCAGTGGAAAGAGACGCGCGATCATTTGAAAAACCTACCTAAGAAAGAACGCTGTTACAGCCCTGCTTTGTCCTACAAAATCCTACGTTATCCACAGTAACATCCTTAAATACTTCCATAATGTAGTTAATAGCTCTGTTTAGTATTTTAAAATATTTGTAGAGATGTTTAGTGCTTCATTCAGCAAATTGCGAGATGACCACAAAACCAACTAAGAGATTTCACAAGACGGTCTGGCCGAAAGCACTCAGAACAAAGTCAAGTCCATTATTACTGCCACATGCTTCTCTGTAACTAATAACTAGCAGGAGTCCCTAGTAGTGAAAAAGTAAGAGTTCTTAATTTGTTTCTTTTTATGCCCTATAGTTTGGTACATAAATATTATAAGATGAATAGCACTCAGATACCTTAATAGAATTTAGCATACACAATTGTTAATATTACATCGTGAAATAATTATTTAGTTACCTTTTTAACATATGTGCTTTAGCTAACAAGAAAATGAGTTTGCATACCTTACCTCACCTGCAGACTTCCTGACACTTGGTCCCGGAAGTGGAGAAAATTGCCGAGCTGATCAGAAACTACCTGAGGTCGACATATCAAGACTTGTTGATTTTGATAAAATGCAAACTCTTTATAATAGTGTGCAGTAATAAATGATACCAGATGGGGGGTAAAGTTACAAACTAAATGTATCTATCAGAATATTCCAACTCTGTTGGGGCACCTGGGTAGCTCAGTAGGTTAAGCGTCCGACTTCGGCTTGGGTCACGATCTCAGGGTTTGTGAGTTCAAGCCCTGCGTCGGGCTCTGTGCTGACAGCTCAGAGCCTGGAGCCTGTTTCAAATTCTGTGTGTCCCTCTCTCTCTCTGACCCTCCCCTGTTCACGCTGTCTCTCTCTCCCTCTCAGATTAAATAAAACATTAAAAAATTTTTTAAAATTTGTTTAAGAATATTCCAACTGGGTTAAAAAATAAGGCCTCTGTTCTTTATTGAAATTAAACTTCTATTTGTAACCTTAGTGTGTTAGTAACTGAAAATTTGGAAAATCACGAGATTAATCTAAACGAACCTCCCTGGTAGCATAACGGGGTTACGCTTGGAGAAAACAATTGCTAGAACATTTTCTACAATTTTGTCTAAAAGGCAATATTCCTACGTTTTCCCATTTCAAATCAGGCAGTAGCACCGTTTCCTGAAATACCAATGTCTGGCTTCTTGGTACAAAGTGACAATTGAAAAAATGAGGAGAGAGGACCAGTCGGAGGCTGGTTTTCAAGCCCCTATAAACTCAGATTGAAAGGGCTGGTTCAGGGAAGGGAATTCGAGAATTTAACTTGATTAGATGACACACTTCTAAAAAAAAAAAAAAAAAAAGCTTCAGTGCTTGGCAGGGTCAGTGGGAGGTAAGGTGCAGGTCACGGCCCAAGTTGCTTCAAGCAAATGTTCTGCTCCCCACCCACTCCCCCAGCCTCCCAAAGCACCCTGGGGGCTGTGCTTTTCAAAGAACATTAAGGCAGGGGCGCCTGGGTGGCCCAGTCGGTTAAGGGTCCGACTTCGGCTCAGGTCATGATCTCGTGGTTCGTGGGTTCGAGCCCCGGGTCGGGCTCTATGCTGACAGCTCAGAGCCTGGAACTTGCTTCCAATTCTGTGTCTCCCTCTCTCTCTGACCCTCCCCTGCTCATGCTGCCTCTCTCTCTCTCAGAAATAAAGAAAAAATATTAAAAAAAAAAAAAAAAACAAGAACATTAAGGCAAAGGAGTCACATCTCCTTAAGGCAAAGGAGTCACGTCTCCGTAATCTACATAAACAGAAAAGAAAAAGAAAAAAAAAACCAAAGGTCTATGGTGGCTATTGGCGTTGGCCTCTCGGAAAAGAAAATGGATCACTCAGAGCCCTGGAAAGTCCAGCATAATCCATGGAAGGCCTCCTGGTGGGAGCAGTAGCTCCCCGCCCTTGGGTCATGTGGCGGCGCTGGGCTCTGGGCAGAGACTACACAGTTGCCTCCCCAGTAAAGGTCACACCCAAAGAGCAGCCACATGAGTTCATTCGTCAGTCTATGCTTCCCCTCCCCAGCGTTTTCACTGCAGGGTATACAACGGACACTTAAAATAGAAATCTAGATTGTGGGCAATATTTGGGAACCCAGGTCTTCCTCAAGCTATGGAAAAAAAAAATCTGGGTGGCCCAGATTCCTTCCTTTCTCAGAATAAGACTGCTTTTTCCTCCCACCCGCGAGAAGAAGTGGAAATGTTTACATGGATACATCTGATGTGTTGACACAGCTCTTAGCAATAAGTCCTTCAAAAGGGCGATCTTTTCCTTCAGACTCTGCAACAAAGCTCTGATTGTCACGTTCAGCTGGAAAGAAAAGAACACATCCTAAGTGCGCTGGTCCAGAGGTGGGGGGGGGAAGGGGGTCTACGAAAAATATCCCGTAAACACATCATGATTCCTTCAAGGACCAGCTGGCGGAGACGCTTACCTTCCCAAGGACACCCTGGGGCGCTAAGCCACCCACCTGACGCCAGCATCCGCTCTACAAGGGGACCCAGTGGAGAGCCAGCCCCTACCTGGGCACACAGTGACTGGAAACCGGCCCCCTGGCCCTCACAGTCTGAATCCTGTCCCCTGAGCATCTACCCTCTGATCCCACTTCTCTGCCGGGGAGCCACGCAGGAAATTGGGCTCCCCGGTCTTCACTCGCCAGTGAAAACCCCAGGCTCCCTCAACCTTGCTTCAGATGACAAGACGTCAGGTGGCGCTACGATCCCGGCTGGTCTGCTCCGAACACACTGGTTTACTTAAGACCCAGGTAGAAGTTTTATAGCAGCGCGCTCCTCTCCCCGATGCTCACCACTCGTCACTCCTTTCCCAGGACTGCGTGAATTTTCTCAGTAGGTTCTACAAACCCGGAGGAAATTGCTGCTTGTGACTCCTGAGTGCTACCTTAAAGAATGAGGGCGGGGATGGGGCGCCTGGGTGGCTTAGTCGGTTAAGCGTCCGACTTTCGCTTAGGTCATAATCTCGCGGCTCGTGGGTTCGACCCCCGCGTCGGGCTCTGTGCTGACTGCCAGCTCGGAGCCTGGAGCCTATTTCAGAGTCTGTGTCTCCCTCTCTCTCTGACCCTCCCCAGCTCACGCTGTCTCTCTCTCTCTCACCTAGAAATAAACAAACAAACAAATAAAAAGAACGAGGTCGGGGAGGACCTCCGGGGGAATGAGAAAATATGAAAAATGAAGCTGCCCACGTAAATTAAATACAGCCCGCCGTGCGGGAAGTGGGAGGCAGGTGTACCAAGGCGGACCCGCGCAGATTTCATCTGCTACCTTGTGCAAAGTCACAATCACAGAACCTCAGGGGAAGCAAGGGCTCCTGCCCTAGGATTCGCAGGGTCACAGGCACCAAGGGACAAACAACAGAACCCCAGGGGCGGGCCGGGGGCTTACACACGTCAAGCAACCCTCAAAGGTATCAGCGGCCAAAGATGTCTAACCTTAACTATTCTAGTACCTCTGGGAATGGTGGAGAAGCCACCCACAGTGTTTATGAGGAAATACCAAGGAGAGCAGATTTCCCCTCGTTCCAGAAGAGCAAAACAAACAAACAAACATAGCACCACACACACACACACACACACACACACACCCCAAACTAAAGAACAGTCTACAAAATTAGAGCTCAGAAGCATTCAAGAGATGAAAGAGTATGTGGCCATTAAAAAAGTACGATGGAAATCTCGATTTGCCGACATAGAAAGACAGCCAGCATAATTTATTAAAAGAGAAGAAAATCAAGTCATAAAATGAATGTCACCCACAGAGGAAAAAAATCAATCTAGGAACTAAATATTTCAAAATGTTAAGGGCAGTTATCTCTAAGTAGTGGATTTTTTAAATATTTTATAAGAAAATGGTTACTTTTATAATCACGAAAAGTTTTCCATTATCATAATCTGCAGGAAACTTTCCAAAGCACAGAAAAAGGTGGAGAGCCTAATTTGTATTTTAAGCTAATACAACCCTGATAACAAGCAGTGACAGAGTTATTGGAGAAAATAAAGAAACAATAAGCAAACAAACCCGATCTCCTGTAAGGATTATAAAACGTAAAAGTCTTTAAAAATATTAGCAAAGTAAATTCAGAATTACATTAAAATGACAACATACCATCACCAAGTAGGGTTTATCCTGGTAATTCAAGAAGAGTTTGACGTTAGCAAATCTAATATTAAAGCCGATAGTGTTAATGATTACAAACAGAATGAATGTATGATGAATAAAGCACAGAGGACACTAATTAAAAACAAAACAGAAAGAAAGAAAACTAAGAATGGAGCGCTACTACCTTAACCACAATATTTTTCAACATTGGTCTAGAAGGTCTGACCAACACAATAAGACAAGTTAAAGAAATACACAAGGGCTGAAAAAAAAGAAGGTGATGAAATTATCATGATGGGTAAATGGAGAAGTCTATTTGGGAAAGTTAAGTGAATCCACTGACAAATTACTAGAAACCACAAAAGAAGTCAGTCTGGTAATCAATCTTAAAATGAAAACAAACAAAACAAAAAAATCAAGGTCATTTCTAAATTTAAGAAATAGGTAGGAAGAATTTCTTTTCATTATTTTTTTTAAACATCATTAACAAAACCAACAAAACCTAAAATAATATCTAGCACCGTGCCTGGCACGTTGTGACTGTGCAGTAAATACTGTTGGAGAAATGAATGAAAGGAAACACTTGATATTGTAAAAATGTAAATGTTCCCCAATGAATCTATGAATTAACTACACGTCTATTCAAAGTCCCATCTGGAGTTCTCTTATGGGAAAAGAGGCAGTAATTGAGGCACAGCACAAAAGAATTGTAATGAAGCTATGAGAAATTATTCTAAAACTTGAATAAAGAGAGATTTAAAAGACAAGGAATATGTGTGATAGAGGAGGACTTAAATGATGAGATATTAGTCTGCATAAAAACGACAAGAGAGGCGCCTGGGTGGCTCAGTTGGTTAAGCGTCCAACTTCAGCTCAGGTGATGATCTCACGGTTCGTGAGTTTGAGCCCCGTGTCAGGCTCTGTGCTGACAGCTTGGAGCCTGGAGCCTGCTTCGGATTCTGTGTCTCCCTCTCTCTCTGACCCTCCCCTACTCACGCTGTCTCTCTCTCTCAGAAGTAAATAAAACATTAAAAAATTAAAAAAAGAAAAAAAAATGACAGGAGTATGATGCTGGCAGTTAACGAAAGCTTCATTAGGGCGATAGAAGGTCCAGGAGTCATATCATCATGCAAAAAAAATAAGAACCTTCATATCTTTTTTTTTTAATGTTTATGTTTGAGAGACAGACAGACAGAGCCCAAGTGGGGGAGCGGCAGAGAGAGGGAGACACAGAAACTAAAGCAGGCTCCAGGCTCCAAGCTGTCAGCACAGAGCCTGACACAGGGCTTGAACTCACAAACGCCAGATCACGAACTGAGCAAGTTAGATGCTCAAACAACTGAGCCACTCAGGCACCCCAGGGATATTTCATATCTTTAAGGGTCAGGTAAAGAATAATTTAGCAAATGGGAAAAAATAAAATTAGGTGCCTACAACATAACAAAATAAACTTCAAATATTTTAGATACATGTTTAAAAATAAAATAAAAACAGAAGGAGAGATTAAAGAAAATTTGGAAGATTAAATATTTAGATAATCTCTGGGTATGAAAGAGCTTTCTCAGAGGCACCTGATTGGTTCAGACAGTTGAGCAACTGACCCGAATTCAACTCAGGTCATGATCTCAAGGTCTGTGGGATTGAGCCCCACAACAGGCTCTGCTCTGACAGCATGGAGTCGGCTTAGGATTCTCTCTTTCCGTCTCTCTCTCCACCTCTCCCTTGCTCACACTCGCTCTCTCTTTCAAAATAATAAATAAATTTAAAAAAATAGGTTAAGGACATATACTGACAATTCACAAAGGAAGAAAGAGAAGTATCCAATAAACACACGAAAATATGTTCAATGACAGAAATTATTTTTTAAAAAGCATATGAAACTATTGTATACTTGCACCTAACAGAATGAGAAAGATTTTTAAAAGATAATCAGAATTGGGACAGAATTGTATGTTCAAGAGGCTTAAAATTTTATACAACCCAAATCCAGAAAGTCTACACTGGGCAACTTTTCTACCACAGGCCACACTGAAAACTCATTTATAATTAGAAATTAACTATCCAAGATGAAGTACCAGTTAAATGAATCAGATCTAAATGTAAACAAGTGAAACCATATGTTTATTCGAAGAAAACAAATAAATTCCCTTACATTCCAGAAAGAACAAAAGTTATGAGTGAAAATACAGAAGCAATTAATGATTGCTAGCCAACTCTGTTTAAGAAAACAAAACCATGCCAGGTGATACCATAAGCAAAGCCAAACAACAAACAATAAAGAAAATAAATTATAATATGTCATCAAGAACAAATTTCCATACTATATAAGGAACTCTTAAAGACTAAAAAGACCAACAATCCAATTTTTCAAAAAAGGCAAAAAAGAAGAACTTCTCAGGAAAACATACATAAATGACGTGTAAGCATGTGAAAATGCACTTCGCTTGATTCACATACGGAGGACGCACATTTGAGACGACATCGAAATACCATATCTCACTTATCAGACAACACCCTCTTGTTGGCCAGCTTGTGGAGAAATAGAAACTCATGCATTGCCGGTCAGGGTACCGAAGGGTCGGCACCTCTGTGGAGGGGAATTTGGCGACGGTGATAAGAAATCACATCCACTCAGGTTCTGAGAATTCACCCTTAAAAGACACCTCCACAAATAAAAGGGGAAGAAAAACATAAAGCTATTTATTACAGCATTATTCATAACGGCAAAACAGGAGATAGAATGTAAACGCCCATCCTTAGGCAGGGTGAGTAGACTAGAGCACATCTGTGCAACAGCACACTACGCAGTCCTAAAGAACAGCGAAGGTCTTGAAGAATGAATATGCAGAGATTACTACAATACAGTATTAAATAAACAGAGTAAGATGCAAAGGAGTATCTTACGTAAAAAGAGAAATGAACGCGCTCACACACACACACACACACGCACGCACACACACAGATGCTTGTTTCTGCAAAAAGTACCAGAGGAAGAGGAAACCAGAAATGAAAATGATTACATGGAGAAGTACCAAAAATTAATGGTCTGTTTATCTTTGACAAAGCAGGGAAGAAGATAGTCTCTTCAACAAATGGTGTTGGGAAAACAGAACGGCGACATGCATAAGAATGAAACTGGACCACTTTTTTAAGCCAAATACAAACACAAACTCAAGCCGGATGAAAGACCTAAATGTGAGACCTGAAACTATAAAAATGCTAGAAGAGAGTACAGGCCATAGCAATCTTTTTCTAGATATGTCTCCTGAGGCAAGGAAAATAAAAGCAAAAATAAACTACTGGGACTACATCAAAATAAAAAGCTTCTGCACAGCAAAGGAAACAATCAACAAACCTAAAAGGCAACCTACTGAATGGGAGAAGATATTTGCAAAGGACACATCCAATAAAGGGTTAGTCTCCAAAATCTATTAAGAATTGATACAACTCGGGGCGCCTGGGCGGCTTAGTCGGTTGAGCGTCCGACTTTCGCTCAGGTCATGATCTCGCGGTTCGTGGGTTCAAGCCCCACATCAGGCTCCGTGCTGACTGCCGGCTCAGAGCCTGGAGCCTGTTTCAGAGTCTGTGACTCCCTCTCTCTCTGACCCTCCCCTGCTCATGCTCTCTCTCTCTCTCTCCTAGAAATAAATAAAACATTAAGAAAAAAAAAAAAAAAGAATTGATACAACTCAACACCCAAAAACCAAATACGGTAAAACCTTGGACTGCAAGTAACTTGTTCTGTGAGCATTCCACAAGATGAGCAAACACTTCTAATAAAAGTTAACTTGATAAACGAACTATGTCTTACAATACGAGTAGTATATTCCGCTGAATGTCATGATCACAACTGAGCCAATGATTCTCTCTCTCTCTCTCTCTCTCTCTCTCTCTCTCTAGCTGTGGGATTGTGGGTGATCAGCTTCCATGCTTGGATGCTCAGCCTCAGGCCACAGTGTTTGGCAGAAATCAGTGATTTTTCAGAACTTTGGAAGGTGCCCTCAAGTGGCACTAGTGTATTTTTGTCACTTCAAAGCACCCATGGATAGTCCTTTGCTTTTCCAGACAAGAGTGAGCTTCACAACACTTTGCTCCAGTCTAGGTCAGCTGCCTGCAGTTAGCGACCCTTTCCTCTGCTGCCTTATACCCAGTTAAATGAAATACAGTCTATGACACAAGTTTATTAATACCGTACTGTAGCCAACATCCGTTAGTGATAGTGAAAGTCGTCCTACACAGTAACCCTCCTCTCTCTTGTCTCCCTCACACCACCACAAAGGTTTTTAAAAGTAAGTGCATGTTGTTTATTTTTCTTTATATTTTGCATTTTCTTTATTATCTTATTATATTACGGTACTATAATCATTTTTATATGAATATTTTTGGGTTATGGAACAAATCATCTTTATTTCTTATGGGGAAATTCTTCCCCATAAAATTTCTTCCCCATTATTTCTTATGGGGAAATTCGATTTGATATACAAGTGCTTTGGATGACACGCATGTTTCCGGAACATATTATGCTCGCAAACCAAGGTTTCACTCTAATCCAATTTAAAAATGGGCAGAAAATATGAACAGGCACTTTTCCAAAGGAGAAATCCAGATGGCCAACAGATACATGAAAAGATGTTCATCATCACTCCTCCTCAGGGAAATACAAATCAAAACCACAATGAGATATCACCTTGCACCTGTCAGAATGGCTAAAATCAACAACACAAGAAAAAACAGATATTGGCGAGGACGTAGAGAAAAAGGAATTCTCGTGCACTGTTAGCACCTCGTGGCAGGAATGCAAACTGGTGCGGCCAATGGGGAAAACAGCATGGAGCTTCCTCAAAAGGTGAAAAATAGAACTACCCTACGATCCAGTAACTCCACTACTGGGTATTTACCCAAAGCACAGATTCAAAGGGACACAGGCACCCTAGGCTTACTGCAGCTCTATCTACAATAGCCAAATTATGAAAAGAGCCCAAATGCCACTGATAACTGAACAGAGAAAGAAGATGTGCTGGATACACACGATGGAATATTACTCAGCCATAAAAAAGAATAAACTCTTGCCATTTGCAACAACATGGATGGAGCTAGAGAGTATAATGCTAAGTGAGAGAAGTCAGAGAAAGACAAATACCATATGATTTCACTCACGTGTGGAATTTAAGAAACAAAAGAGCGAAGGGAAAACAAAAGAGAGAGCCGAACCAAGAAACAGACTCTTAACTGCAGAGAACAGATGGTTCCTGGAGGGGAGGGGAGGGGAGGGATGGATGAAAAAGGTGAAGGGGATTAATGAGCACCAAAAAAAAGAAAAAAAGAAAAAAAGAAAAAAAAAGAAAAGAATATAAACAGATGCAAAGGATAGCACAGAATGCAGAAAAAAGAATCCATTGTAATAACTTTAGATTAACCTCAGTACTTAGTGAGATGTTCTAAATTAAAAAAAAAAAAAAAAAAGTAAAGACGGGCACCTGGGTGCTCAGTCAGTTAAGTGTCCGACTTTGGCTCAGGTCATGATCTCACAGTTCATGAGTTCGAGCCCCGCATCAGGCTCTGTGCTGAGAGCTCAGAGCCTGAAGTCTGCTTCGGATTCTGTGTCTCCCTCTCTCTCTCTCTGCCCCTCTCCTGCTTATGCTCTCTCTCTCTCTCTCTCAAAAATAAATAAAAAACACTAAAAAAACAAAAAGTAAAGACAAACTCAGACTTAAGGTCTGTGGTGGTGCCTGTAGTAATTCTGAAACTGTTTCCTGCAACCCATAAGACAAACCACATGAGCAAAAACATCTCTCTGGTACTTTTCTGAGTGCCAGAAAAGAAAAACACCAATTTGGAATGGGGGAAGGCTAGAAAGAAACCCGCGCTGCTGGGGTCTCAATCAAAGGTGCTAGGGTGAACCCCTGAGGGTCTAGAAAACATATTTCCCCCACCAAATCCTACCACTGTTTTTACACAGCCTTCAAGTTATTTACATTTTTACATGGAAAATTTCGAAAAGGCCATACTCCTCTTGACAAGAACAGATCCTCAAAGAGGTGAGGGTGTCACCTCTTGTCCTGCAGAGCCCGAAAGATTTACTCTCTGGGGTCTGAGCTGGACTCAGAAATTGTTAGAGACTTTTACGGTTAAACAGGAGAGATTAAACAGGCATCATGCTTCAATCCGTCTCAGGTACAACGACTGACTGATTGATTGTAAGGTCAATGCATGTAAGCTTCACAGCCACACGGACAGACGGATGGAGAGACACACACACACACACACACACACACACACACACACACACAGCCTTAGCAGTAGGAGGGTTTGCAGACCTCAGAGCTCAAACGAGCCACCCTAGGGCCTAATTCTTTCCTGCCCTTACCCTGATTGTATTTTCTCCACTTCTTCCGTGCTGATTTTGCTGCTGGATTTTCTCGGCAATTTCTTGTGCAATTTGGCAGGTGGCATCGTATGTGGAGAACCTGCATCAGAGGCATAAAGGACAAGGATGCTTCAGGCTCTTGAAAAGCAACCTTCTGTGTGATTTGAGCTTCACTTGTTAGCTCTGGCCACCAAGTCAAACAGGAAGGACGACGATAGTAAATCCAGCGACACACATGGCTATTACAGGAAATACTGTGAGCTGGGCTCTGTTCCGAAGGCTTCATTTGCAGCAACTCACTTAATCCGCACAAAACACCAGGGGACGGGCATCATTCCCATCGCCATCTTACGAGCGAGAAAATCAGCCTGAAGAGGTAGAGCCACTTGGCCAAGCGGTACCGCCTGCTGCGAACTACACCCCGAACCAGCTCCCAATCACTTCACCGCTGTGCCGCCGGCAACATGTTTGAATTCATCCACTTACGGAACATTCGACGAACACTTATGGAAGGGCTCCTCTGTACTGAGCACCGTCCCAGGCACGGGCACGCAGAGCAGCGAACCAGATGGGCAAAGTCCTTGCTCAAGGAGCATAAGGTAAATAAGACCCAACATGTGGAGGGCCGGTAGGTGCCGACAGGAAAATAAGACAGGAAAAAAGAACAGACAGCAACGAGCAAGGAGGGGAAGCCAGGTGTCTGGGGAAGAGCTTCACAAAACAGGAACAGCAAGTCCTGTTTATGCTACAACAAACGCGCTGGGGACTTGGGGGCACAGGACACCCCCTCCTGACATCTAAGCTTGCAGGACCTCTCTCAAAACATTTGCTGGGTTTCTATTTGTTATTCAAAGGGTTGGGAGGCTTTGAAAAATCCACAATAAATTCCCCAAGGTCCCTTGCTTTTTCCTTCTGTGACAGCCTTTTCACCTCCTGTCTGTTTTACAGAGAACAGCTAAGCGCACCTTGCGTCTCTCCTACCAGGAGGCCCTGCTCTGAAGAGGACGGACTAGGGCTGTCCTACTACAAATGTGGAAAGTGGCTGTTTGCCCCAATGTCCCGATTTTGGCTTGAAAACGTGAACAATCCATTTCTTAAAAATCTTTCAGGGCACCTGGGTGGCTCAGTCAGTTGAGTGTCTGACTTTGGCTCAGGTCATGATCTCACGGTTTGTGGGTTCGAGCCCCACGTCGGGCTCTGTGCTGACAGCTCGGAGCCTGGAGCTGCTTCGGATTCTGTGTCTCCCTCTCTCTCTGCCCCTCCCCTGCTCACACTGTCTCTCTCTCTCTCAGAAATAAATAAAACATTAAAAAAAAAAAAACTTTCAACTCCCCACACATTACTCATCCACTGAGGGAACTCAGCAAATGTGTTTTTCAATAATGGAAAACAAACACAACAATCTCCAGTTGCTTCCCTTAGCAATCTTACTAGAGTAATCACGGCGATGGGTAACAAACTGAGTACCTGATCTGGGCCAGGTCCTACTTCTGACGTCAGGAGGTAGGATCTTTGACAGCGCCCCGTTCTACGCTGAAGGAGCATCGCACATGTGTGCGTGTGAAACTGTGTGTTCACGTGTACAAAAAAAGAGCCAGGGACACAACACAAGGTTAAGAAAATTAGGAGGGGAGCTGATAAGGAAAACAGGGTCCTGGTTCCCAGCTGTGCCACATTCCTCCCTTTCCCCTCCACACTGTTGCCTCTGGAGAGAGGAGCGCAGGTCTGGCTCTGTGGTCCCAGACGAGACCTACGGAGATCGATACTAAGGTGCGACACACCGCCCAACAACGGTGGAGCCTAAGTGGCACGTGCTCCTGGAGCTCGGGAGGGAGGGACAGTAGTGTCGGCCGAGGCACTCGGGCTGGACAGGGCTGGACCAGGGGATGACACCCTGGGCTGAGCAGCGAGGTTGAGGGGCACATTCGGCTGAGCAGCCCCGGGTAAGAGGGTAAGGTATAAAAGTGGACAGATGCGTGGAAGTTAGTTTTGGCAGAGCCTTGAACACCAGAATTATCAGGGGAGGCTTTTGAAAAAAAGAGGACTTTGGAGCTGTAGGGGATCCTCTGACACACTGAGTGAGCCCCTGAACAGGTCTAGGAAATGCAGAAGGTCAAAGTCCCACATGGTTTGCTCCCAATCTTCCCGCTCCCACGTTAGCCTTGGAAATCGCTGGTTCCTAATCTTAACAACAACACAACGGAGTCCAGGCTCCCAGCCCCAAGCATCCTGCTTCGACGGGAATGGTTTTGGCTTTTCTTAGTTTTGTTTTTTGTTTTTAATCTTTACTTTTGAGACAGACAGAAACAGATCATGGGCAGGGGAGGGGCAGAGAGAGAGGAAGAATCTGAAACAGGCTCCAGGCTCCAAGCCTTCAGCAGAGAGCCCAATGCGGGGCTCAAACTCACAAACCATTAAATCATGACCTGAGCCGAAGTCGGACAGTTAACTGACCGAGCCACTCAGGTGCTCCGGGAATGGGCTTTGACCCAGACAGGAGTTGTGAAAGCCTCCCCGGGGTGTTCCTATCCTTAGCCAAGTTTGAGAACCACAGGCACAGAGGTAATGGGCGGCGTCATACCAGTACCGAGCACACAAGTACCTAAAGTACTAGTTTAGGGGCACCTGGGTAGCTTAGTCAGTGGGGCCTCTGACTCTCAATTTCAGCTCAGGTCATGATCTCGTGGCTCATGAGACAGAGCCCCGTGTCGAGCTCTGCACTAACAGCATAGCACTTGCTTGGGAGTCTCACACTCCCTCTCTCTCTCTGCCTCTACCCCACTTGTGTTCTCTCTCTTACACTCTCTTTTGCTCGCTCTCTCTCCCTCTCTCTCTCTCTCTCCCTCAATAAATAAATAAATAAAGTACTAGTTTAGGGAAATTAACCAGCACTCGTTTACACAAATGGCTGGGAATGAGAGAGGAGTGGGAGGAGGCCAGACTCCCATTCCAGAACTGGTCACCAGAATCTATCATCTGCAAGGCACACAGCTAAAAGCACGGCGACAAGGCAGACGCAGCATAAAAGCGCTGCCAGGGCTCCCTGGGGGGCTCAGTCGGTTGAGCCTCCGACTTCGGCTCAGGTCATGATCTTGCGGTTCGTGGGTTCAAGCGCCCCGTCGGGCTCTGTGCTGACAGCTCGGAGCCTGGAGCCTGCTTCAGATTCTGTGTCTCCCTCTCTCTCTGCCCCTCCTCCACTTGCGCACTCTCCCCACTCCCCTTCCCCGCTTGCACTCTGTCTCTCAAAAAATAAACGTTACCGAAAAAAAAAATTTTTTTAAAGAGATGCCAGAGGCTTTTGAAAGAAAACCCGAACATTTAATAATCAGATAGGAGGAGGGCAAGAAACAGCAGATGAATGCGGCTTTCAGGCCCAAGACACAGAGGAAGGCGATGCCACAACAGAGACCTAGAACTGCAAAGGGGAGCACACGGAAAGTCCCCTGCCCTACCACCAAAACACTGCCTGCACAGTTAAATTCATATACGTATAAAATTTACTTAAAAAAAAAAACTCGGGGGGAAAAACGATGCGGAAGGCGGAGATGATACAAGTATAGCACTAGGTCGATATCAGAAGACCCGGGTGACCAGTACAAAGGGCTTGTTAGACTATCCCAGTCCATATATTTTTTACCTTCCGTAACATTTTTTAGAATAGACCAAAAAGAAAAAAGAAAAGACCAACCAGAAGGCAAAACTCTTAAAGTCTGTTTCACTCTAACTCTTCCAGAAAGGGTGCATCACCGACAGATTCGTTGGCTGAGCAGCAAAGCTAATTAACTTTAGCAAAGAACCTGTTAAGAGACACGAATCGGTTGCTACTTCTGTTCAAAAGCGAGCCTCCCACTTACTTTGATACATCGGTAAGGCGGTCGCGGCTCTAGGCCATTAGTAACCATCAGAATACCAGTCTGGAGTAAAAGCATCATTGGTGTGTGGTTTTCAATAGCAGGAACACAAGGCTGTATGTAGTCGTCTGTTTTTGTAAGTTTTTCAAAGTCCTGTTCCATACTCCCATCTACCCTATCCTGGTCAGCAACCCACTTTGCAAGGTAGCTGACGTTACCAGGGCAACAGACTTTCACCTGTTTCCTGGTCAAGAGACAAATGAGAAAGTCACGGAGTCAAACTACTGGAGAGCAACAGGAAAAATCAAGATCCATTTTCAGCATAAACTGGGGAAGGGGCTCGGGGTCCAACTATTGCTCCCATCAATCTACATGGACTATCACCTCTGAGCTCTATTTCCTACCTTATGTGCAAAGTGAGGGGGTTAGCTTCCAAGGAGCGGAGGGCACCTGAGCAATACGTACCAGGGGCCTTAAAAAGGTTCACTTCCTTGTGAATCCAACAGCTCACTTTCGGGGAGTGAGCCGAGGAAGAGATGAACAAAGGGGCTGTTTTTGCAATAGTTAAACAAAACAAACTATTGTGAATATTACAAAGAGGTACAAAGAGGGAAATAATTAAATTATGGTTATTCATACGATGTACTATTACGCACAATAATAAAAAAATCATGTTCTTAGTAAATACTTAATGACATGGAGAAATGTCCCCTGCTTTGTAAAACATGCAGATTTCCCTCACTAACCAAAAGGTGTCTTCCCATGAAACCTTTCGTAACACGAAATGGGGTAAAGTGAAGCGGCAGTTACTAAGCATTTGTACAGAATATTGTCTGAGCCTTCTCAGACCCAAAAAATTACCTCTTTTGGTTTTTTCTGATACCTTAGGGCACATCTTGCTAACAGGTGCACAAAATAAACCAAGAAAAAGCACAGATGCTCACAGACACAGCTCAAAGCTATGGCAGCTCCATGTGGAGATGCTGAGTGTCGCTCCCAGGGAAGGAGCTTGGCCGGGTCATGCTCCACGGTTGAGGTGTGCCATGCTCCTCCCCGCCCCCCCCCACCCCCCCGCCAGGAGAGCTTGCTGCAAAATAAACGCAGAATGCTATTTTCACTTTCCGTATTTTTTCATAAAAGCAAAAATCCTCTTCAGATTTCTTTCGATTCGAGAAAATAGGAACTAAGGTTGGTCTTTCCTAATAGCAAAGTGGCAGAATGTGAAGTTTCAAAAAGCCACGGATCCTTGTATACATATCATTATATGTACCTACACACGCATATTATATAAGCTACTGTATTCGTTTTAAAAATCAACGAAGGGGGGCGCCCGGGTGGCTTAGTCGGTTAAGCGTCCGACTTTCGCTTAGGTCATGATCTCGCGGTTCGTGGGTTCGAGCCCCACGTCGGGCTCTGTGCTGACTGCCAGCTCAGAGCCTGGAGTCTGCTTCAGAGTCTGTGACTCCTTCTCTCTCTCTGACCCTTCCCTGCTCACGCTGTCTCTCTCTCTCCTAGAAAAAAATTTACAAAAAAAAATTTTTTTAATAAATAAATAAAAATCAATGATGGCTATCATTCCAAATGACAGAGCTGAAGATGTTTTCCCCCTGCAAACATTAATACTGAATATACACCTGATTTTCTATCCGGGTGTATACAATTGTTAAAACTTCGGTGGAAAGTAATTAGTGTTAAATCAAGCAAGCCTTTGGCGCAGGTTGTAACCCAGATGTCCCAGATCGTGCTAACGCTGATCTTGCACGCCACCCCCCTGGTTGCCATACTGACTACAACTTAATTATAAAATCTATCAGAAATATTAACATATGGGGGCACCTGGGTGGCTTAGTTGGTTAAGCGTCTGACTTTCGCTTAGGTCATGATCTCGCGGTTCGTGGGTTCGAGCCCCGCGCCGGGCTCTGTGCTGACTGCCAGCTCAGAGCCTGGAGCCTGTTTCAGAGTCTGTGTCTCCCTCTCTCTCTGACCCTCCCCTGCTCACACTGTCTCTCTCTCTCTCTCTCTCTCCTAGAAATAAAAATATTTAAAAAAAAAAAGAAATATTAACATAAAACGTAAAGTCCAACCAGAACTTTATGGAGCTGTAACACGCTTTTAATTATAAAACAAAACAAAACAAAAAAGTCAAGTCGGATATGCTGTTGCAATATGGTCCCTGGGACCAGAACTTGTGTCTTTCATCACTCGGTCCTTGGGACTTACGTGCTGAGGGAATGAAACTGCAGCACAGGAAACAGCCTTCGTGATACGGACTCAGGTCAGGGTTAAACGCCTTATAAACAAATGCGTAATTTCCCTCCCTGATTCCTCTAAGTTTTTTGTTGTTGTTGTTGTTTGTTTGTTTTTTGAAGGGCCCACAAGATCTAAGTCTTGGCGGGTGACCATGCATTCTGAACCTCGGTCTCTCCGCCTGTGAAGTAAGGGGTGGGGGGTGGAGGGTCCCCAGATGGGCCGGCCTTGCCCAATAAGGTTACTTGGACTTCACTTTCCTGAGAGTCCAGGGAAGCCGGCACCAGCCAGCTCCACAGCCGGGACGGGCGGGAACTCTCCCCCAGATGCAGCCGAGAAGGGCTGAAGGCGTGTTCCGGGGTTCGGTACGAGCCCTCAGCTCCCCGGGGTCCCCCCGCCCCGGGCCCCTGCGAACACCGAGGGTAGCGGGACACAGCAGGGTCCCCCTCGGCAGGGGAAGGGGCCCCGCTGCCCCTCCCTTCTTCCCGAAGGTTCTCCGCCCCCAGAGCCTGGCGACCGCCGGCTCCCCGGAAGCCTGTCCCCCCCCCCGCCCCCGCGGGCCCTCGGCGCGGCCGCCCTCACCCCGGGGCTCACCAGGGGTCCGGGGCCATCGTGCAGTCTCCGCCAGCCTCGGACACTTCCTGCTCGCGGCAGCTGACTACGGCGGCCCGCGCGGCTCACACCCCGCGGTTCGGCCCGGGCGCGACCGGAATCTGCAGTTTCCCCGCTGTGTGTGCACCGCGGCCTCCCAGGTAAGGAAGCGGCCCCCGGCGAACCCGAGGTCGGAGCGAACAGCCCGGCGCAATTAAAATGAAACTGTGGGGCAAAAATCTAAGCATCTTCCCGGGAAGGCGGAGGCATCTTAAGCCCTCCAGCAGCCAACCCGAAATTTCATCCCACTTCAAACACACACACACACAGACTGCGGGCACAGTTGCACAGCCGTATACATTAAAACTCAGAGCGAATTTTTCTAGGTAAAGTTATACCCCAATAAAGCTTAAAATTTTTTCTTAATCCTGATTTAAACAAAGGACCCAAAGAAGTGGCAAGGATAGGTTATTTTATAGCAGCCTTCCCTAAATGACTCTCGGTGATTGATTATGCAGTTACGAAAAGAGCCCGTAGGGGGAAAAGTGCAGTCGGTGCCCCTAAATTTCCAGGGAAATTGGAAGGAAAACGACCCCTCGCTCTTTCGCCAGCGGGAGCTCGGGGCTCCGCTGCCGGGAGCGCGCGCGGGCGTAGGCGTGGTGCGCATGCGCGCGTCCGTTGCCATACCGACCGGGAGACGCTGCGCGGCCGGAGGCGGAGAGGCGGGAGAGCCTGGTGTCCAGGCGATGGAGAACCAAATTTCTCCCAAGGCCGAGGGGGCCGAGGTGGCCGAGCTGGAGCTTGAGGCCGCGATCGGCTTCAATGGTGAGGCCTCGGGCGCGTCTGGGCTGGGCGGTCTGCAAGCCCTGGGGACGAGGAGCCCGAACAGGGATCGTGGGACACCGGGTGGCACCTGGAAGGCAGCGGGACCCTGGCAAGGGCCAAGTTCTCTCCCGCCCCAAGGCCCTGGGGAGTCACATCCTCGCTCCAGCCTCCAGGGCTGGGGTGGTTTCACAGCGCCTAGGAGGGGCAAGTGCCTGCTCACCGGACCGAAGGATGAGTGAGGGCGGTCGTAACCCTTCTTCCCCTGGTCAGCTCTGCCCTGGCCCCTAAGCACCAGCCCACCCCCATCTGCCCGCCCCTGGGTACCCGCGGGATTGCTGAGTCCTCTTGGGCCCCTGGGAACAACCAACTTCTAGAACCCCAGCTGGTGTGCCCATGAGAAAGGGTTGGGGACCGAACGTGGCAGCGAGCAGCCGTTTTAGGGGATGATCTGCCCTCTAACCCGGAGAAGGACCCTAACAGTGAGGATTCCAGACCCTGACAGTGGGGGTGCCAGGGGAGGCTGCGGAGGTGGGAAGATGCCTCAGGCAGTGGAGGCCTGGCACTTGGGCTCACACCTTATTTATGAGTGCCTGATATTTTTAACTTGAAGGAGGGAAATGCATTTTGGTTTTGTGTGTGAAAGAAGGGAACAAGTTGGGGCGCTTGGGTGGCTTAGTCGGTTAAGCGTCCGACTTTCGCTTAGGTCATGATCTCGCGGTTCGTGGGTTCGAGCCCCGCGTCGGGCTCTGTGCTGACTGCCAGCTCAGAGCCTGGAGCCTGCTTCAGTCTGTGACTCCCTCTCTCTCTGACCCTCCGCTGCTCACGCTGTTTCTCTCTCTCCTAGAAATAAATAAAAAATAAATTAAAAAAAATAAAAAAAAAAAAAAGAAGGGAACAAGCACGTTACATTTTAGGAGAAGCAAACTTTTTTTTTTTAAGTGCATTGTGCTGCCGGAGGGTTTTAGAATTGTAATAATGCAGACGCAGAACAGTCAATGGCTAAAGTTTTAGGGACATTCTGGGACCCGGAGCCTGACTCTTCGTTTTAGGTGAACAGTCTCTTATAGAGAGTGGGCTCTTAGTACATCTGAGATATCGGCGGTCTTTAGAGCTGGTGACAAGGCCATTGGTAAAGGAAGTGAGTGGCTCCTGGTGAGTACAGGGGGTCACACCAGTGACCAGTGCAGAGCCTCAAACAGTGTTCTGCAACTGAATTCACGATGTTTGGTAGATCTCTGTGAGTAAATATACAGGGGCACCTGGGTGGCTCAGTTCATTAAGCCTCCAACATTGGCTCAGGTCATGATTTCCAGTTTGTGAGTTGGAGCCCAGCACCCAGCTCTACTGACCATGCTGAGCCTGCTTGGGATTCTCTCTCTCCTCTCTCTCTGCCCCTCCCCCACTTGCATCTGTGCGCGCGCGCTCTCTCTCTCTCTCTCAAATAAACTTTAAACATTAAAAAAGTTATAAAAAAGAATAAATATATGGTACATTATATTCCAGCACCTTCCATGGCCATTACCAATTATCTTGGCCTTTTAAAATGGCCCAAATTAATGGAAAAATTTTTACTCTGCTGGTTTTGCAACAACTTATATTCTTATATATAATATATAAAGGATATATAAGAATATATTCTTTCATATAGTCAAATACACATTTATCTGGAACCACCAGCCAAATTGCATGCTATGCTCTGAGAATACAAGGATAGATCCATAGCCACACATAAGAAGAGTTTAGGAAATTGGAAAAATACAGTGAAGCTGGAAAAAAATCAGCCATCGTTACATTTCATAAAGATAGCGCTATTAAACTTTTGGTGTCATCCTTTTAAGTATATATTTACATATAAACTTTTTAAAAATTTTTTTAAATTTTTAAAATTTATTTCTAGGAGAGAGAGAGAGAGAGAGAGAGAGAGACAGCGTGAGCAGGGGAGGGTCAGAGAGAGAGGGAGTTACAGACTCTGAAACAGGCTCCAGGCTCTGAGCTGGCAGTCAGCACAGAGCCCGACGTGGGGCTCGAACCCACGAACCGCGAGATCATGACCTAAGCGAAAGTCAGACGCTTAACCGACTAAGCCACCCGGGCGCCCCTAAAATTTTTTTATTTTAATTTTTTTTAATGTTTATTCATTTTTGAGAGAGAGAGAGAGCACCAGCGAAAGAGGGATACAGAGAGAAAGGAAGACACAGGACCTGAAGCAGGGCTCCAGACTCTGAGCTGTCAGCACAGAGCCCAACACAGGGCTCAAATTCACTGTGAGATCATGACCTGAGCTGAAGTCGGATGCTTAACCGACTGAGCCACCCAGGTGCCCCTGGGCAGAGAGTATTATAGAGCTCTTTTACTTTTATCATAAAATAGTTCAACAGAAATTTAGAGTGCCACAATAAATACCAGGTATTGCACACATTAGCAAATTTTGATACTATTTTCACTTGAGTTAATTTTTTTAAGTTTATTTATTTATTTATTTAGAGAGAGACAGAGAGAGAGAGAGAATCCCAACCAGGCTCTGCGATGTCAGCACAGAGTCTGACACAGGGCTTGATCCCACAAACTGTGAGATCATGACCTGAGCCGAAGTCGGACTCTTAACCAACTGAGCCACCCAGGCGCCCCTGTGAGTCTTCTTTTTTTTTTTTATGTTTTTTTAAATTTTTTTTTTATTTCTGAGACAGAGAGACAGCACGAGCAGGGGAAGGTCAGAGAGAGAGAGGGAGATAACAGAATCCGAAGCAGGCTCCAGGCTCTGAGCTAGCTGTCAGCACAGAGCCCGACGTGGGGCTCAAACCCACGAACCGCGAGATCATGACCTGAGCCAAAGTCGTCCGCTCGACAGACAGAGCCACCGAGGCACCCCTTCTTAATTCATTTATTTAAATATCTTTTTAAGATTTATTTATTTTGAGAGAGAGAGAGAGAGCAAGTGTGCGAGCAGGGGAGGGGCAGAGAGAATCCCAAGCAGGCTCCACACTCTACAGTGTAGAGCCCGACGCGGGGCTCGAACCCACGAACCGCGAGATCATGACCTAAGCGAAAGTCAGACGCTTAACCGACTAAGCCACCCAGGTGCCCCATCCCTGTAGATGGTCTTTTAGTTTGTTTGCAATCTTCTGCTACTACAAACGAGGCCACACCTTTGTAGTGGCCCGTGGGCACAAGTGCAATTATTTCTCTAGGTCATATACCAAAGAGCGGAATAGCTGGGTCCTGGGGTGTGTAGGTGCTCAAACATACTGAATATGGCTCTGTTGTTTTCCAGGACTATTCCACCAACGTGTGGGAGCGTTCCGTTTTGTTCACACCACCACTAAGGCTTGCTATTATCGGCCTTTTCATTTTAGCTGTTAATACAGAGATGAAACGGTATCTCATTTGGGATGTAATTTGCATTACCCTGATTGCTTGCAAGGTCGCCTATATTTTCACGTGTTTATTGGTCTTTTAATGTCCTGCCTCATACATTGCCTGTTCATATCCTTTGCTCATTTTTCCTTCGGAGCACTTTGCGGTTTTCTTATTTATTTGTGGTAGCTCTTTGCATATTCTGGATATAATCCCTGTCTATTACGTACACTGCAGATATCTTCTCCTGGTGTGGGTTTTTCTTTTCATTTTGTCATTTGTCATCCGAAGTTTCAAATTTTTGACATAACTGGGTGACTACATTGGCCTTCTCTGTTAGGATTTTCTGTCTCTGTCTTTGTGGCATGTTTAAGAAGACGTTTCCTGCAACCCGTGTACATATTAAGTCTTGTTTGTCGCAGTGAGGGCCTTGATCTACCTGAAAAAAGTATTTTTTTGTGTGTGTGTGTATGGTGTGAAGTAGGATTTGATTTTGCTTTTTCCATGTGGATGGCAATATGATGGCTTATAAGGTAACTGCGATTGAAAATGTATATATGAACACGAAGAGGGAGCATAAGGCAGCTGAGGGCAAAGCACAATCTAGCATACCCTCCCCCGGGGTGGGATGTGTGTGACACTCCTCAGGCACTCCTGGCTGCCCAAGGACAAGGGAAATGACAGAAAACAAATGGTTAAACTGATAGTGTCGCCATCAGTTTACAGATATCTTAGCACAACTACAAGAAACGGGCAATCTTATCAATAGCCTAATGTCCAGGAACTCTCTGCTGTCCTAAGGGTAGTGTTTGGCTAGAGGAGAAAACAACTATAGCATGACCATAGCTAGGTCCCCAGGAATCTGTGAGTCTTCTTTTTTTTTTTTATGTTTTTTTAAATTTTTTTTTTTATTTCTGAGACAGAGAGACAGCACGAGCAGGGGAAGGTCAGAGAGAGAGAGGGAGATAACAGAATCCGAAGCAGGCTCCAGGCTCTGAGCTAGCTGTCAGCACAGAGCCCGACGTGGGGCTCAAACCCACGAACCGCGAGATCATGACCTGAGCCGAAGTCGGACTCTTAACCAACTGAGCCACCCAGGCGCCCCTGTGAGTCTTCTTTAGTATATGGAATCCCTTTTTTAAGAAACTTCCTCTTGATTTTACCTCCCCCCAACTCCACAGTATATAACCAGTCACTCTTCACAACCCCAATGCAGCTCTTTCTGCCCAGGGTCTCATCCCCACGCTTTAACAAAAATCACCATTTTTGCCCCAAAGACGTCTGTCTTCAAGAATGCTTTCTTGGCCGTCAGCTCCAAACCCCACCATCACCTCAGAACCTCATCAGACAGATAACCCCCAAAGACACACACCTTAGGCTTTGGAGAACTTACTACAGGGAAAAGGAATGATCTCAAGTAAAGCAAAAAAAAAAAAAAAAAAAAAAAAAAAAAAAAAAAAAAAAAAAAAAAAAAAAAAAAAAAAAAAAAAAAAAAGAATCATTTAGTCAATAAATACATCTGGCGATTTGAGCAAAAGGGGAAAAAACGAGAAAAGAATATCTATTATCTATTTAGCTACTGGAATCACATTATGTACCAAAATAAATTCTAGAGGGAGTTAAATGTAAAAGATGAATTCATTAAAAGACCAGAACACGATATTAATAAATATTTATGACTCTCTTTATGGTGTAAGAAATAGCCACAGAACGGTTTTAAAATACCTTGGAAGGGACGTTCTAAGAAATGTGTGAGATCTTTATGAAGAAAAATCGAAAACGGAAGTCCTAAAAGGAGATTTCGTGGAAGAACATATCCTTTCTTAGAAAAGGAGATTGAATGTATTCTTTTTTTTTTTTTTTTTTAATGTTTTATTTATTTCTAGGGGAGAGAGAGACAGCATGAGCAGGGGAGAGTCAGAGAGAGAGGGAGTCACAGACTCTGAAACAGGCTCCAGGCTCTGAGCTGGCAGTCAGCACAGAGCCCGACGCGGGGCTCGAACCCACGAACCGTGAGATCATGACCTAAGCGAAAGCCGGACGCTTAACCGACTAAGCCACCCAGGCGCCCCTGAATGTATTCTTATAAAAATTATTTTTCCTTAATCTACACATTTAATACCATTCCGCTAAAATTGATTTTTAATGAATCCAGCTGACTTTACAGTTTATATGGTAAGATAATATCGAGCGTAACCCCCAAAATTCTGACCAAAGTTGAGTGATTATAAGGGAGGGCCTCTCTTTCGTAATAACACATATTACAATTGGGGTGTAATTGGGGTGATGATTCTCGGCAGATAGCTAGGAGGAGGGGTTCTCCTCGAGAGAAGTCTGGGCTTCTTTTGAGTCGCCTGGTAGTGACTTGGAACCAAATTTTCTTTACCAAACTTCTGCCCCGAGACAGTGAATTTACGTTCTCACCGTGCTTTCCACTCACCCAGACAGGCTGCTGGTATTTCCTGCTTCTCAGGGTTATAAGAATTGGCCTTGCTCTCCAAAGTGAGGTTCCTGGACCAGCATCAACACCTCCTGAGAACTTGTCAGAAAGTCAGAACCTCATGGGCGCCCAGGTGGCTCAGTTGGTTAAGCCTCTGACTTCGGCTCAGTTCATGATCTTGCGGTACATGCGTTTGAGCCCCGCATTGGGCTCTATGCTGACAGCTCAGAGCCTGGAGTCTGCTTTGGATTCTGTGTCTGCCTCTCTCTCTCTCTCTCTCTCTCTGCCCTTCCTCCGCTTGCACTCTGTCTCTCTCTTAGAAATAAACATTAAAAAAAATTTTTTTTTAATTCAGAATCTCAGCTCCCCTTCCAGACCTGAAATCAGGACCTGCATTTTGACCAGACCCCATGGCAATCTTATGCACATGAAAGTCTGAGAAGTGACGACATTAGACAGACCTTGTCGGCGGCATAAAATCACATGTATTATCCCCCAACCCACTTACTCTAGTTGAACTAAGATTCATTTCAAAAACGCTCTCTTTTGTATTCAACTTTTTTTTTTTAATGTTTTATTTATTTCTAGGGGAGAGAGAGAGAGAGACAGCATGAGCAGGGGAGAGTCAGAGAGAGAGGGAGTCACAGACTCTGAAACAGGCTCCAGGCTCTGAGCTGGCAGTCAGCACAGAGCCCGACGCGGGGCTCGAACCCACGAACCGCGAGATCGTGACCTAAGCGAAAGTCGGACGCTTAACCGACTAAACCACCCAGGCGCCCCTGTATTCAACTTTTTTTAATGTTTATTTATTTTGGGGAGAGATAGACAGAGCATGAGCGAGGGAGAGGCAGAGAGAGAGGGAGACACAGAATCGGAAGTAGGCTCCAGGCTCTGAGCTGTCAGCACAGAGCCCGACGCAGGGCTTGAACTCACAAGCCGTGAGATCATGACCTGAGCGGAAGTTGGGTGCTCAATCAGCTGAGCCACCCAGGCGCCCCTATGTTCATTTAAAAATGTGTGTGGGGGGGGGGGGCTACTTCTGTACCTAATTATTACTGTTTTTAAAAAATATATGTATTTTTTTAAGTAAGCTCCACACCCAACACAGGGCTTGAAATCACAACAGAGAGATCAATAGTCGCACACTGTACTGACTGAGCCAGCCAGGCACCCCTAGTTATTGCTATCTTTCTGTCTTTCTTTCTCTTTCTTTCTTTTAATCATTACTACTTTTGATCTCTCTCTTTTAGGACATGTGCCCACTGGTCTGAAATGCCATCCTGACGAGGAGCATCTGATTTACCCTCTGGGCTGCACAGTCCTGATTCAGGCAATAAACACTCAGGAGCAGAACTTTCTCCAGGGCCACAGTAACAACGTCTCCTGTATGACCATCTCCAGGAGTGGGGTGTACCTTGCCTCGGGGCAAGTCACGTTCATGGGCTTCAAGGTGAATGCACTGAAAGTCGTTCCTTGTAAATCAATGCAGAGGTGCCTCTGTAGAAAACCCAAGCCACACTGCGGAGCAGCTCTGCGAGGTCCGTGTTTTCACCCCTTCTTCCTCATTGCCTCCTCCCTGAGCTCCTTTTCATTCCCTCAGGCTTCCAGTAAGTAAGCATTCCGGTGTTTCCACCAGACCCTGCAGCCAGGGGGCTGATAATGCTCGGGAACAAAAAGTCCCTGTTTAATTTATTATTTTTAAAAATTTTTTAATGCTTTTTTATTTTCCAGAGGGAGAGAGAGAGACAGAGCCTGAGTCAGGGAGGGGGCAGAGAGAGGGGGAGACACAGAATCTGAAGCAGGCTCCAGGCTCCGAGCTGTCAGCACAGAGCCTGACCCAGGGCTCGAACTCATGAACCGCGAGATCATGACCTGAGCCAAAGTCGTCCGCTCGACAGACAGAGCCACCGAGGCACCCCTTCTTAATTCATTTATTTAAATATCTTTTTAAGATTTATTTATTTTGAGAGAGAGAGAGAGAGCAAGTGTGCGAGCAGGGGAGGGGCAGAGAGAATCCCAAGCAGGCTCCACACTCTACAGTGTAGAGCCCAATGCAGGGCTCGAACCCACAAACCACGAGATCATGACCTGAGCCGAAGTAAGACACTTAACGGACTAAGCCACCCAGGCACTCCCTCTGCTTAATTCAAACCAGTTTCCTTTCTCTTGCCCTTATGTTTGTGAACTGCGATCTGATTTGCAGAGAGAGAAGTGCTCCTAATGACTGTTTTTCACCAAGTGGGGGAGCTCTGTCCTGGGACTCTGCTGACGCAGGTCTGTGATCTGACGGTGTTTTCTCGTCCCCCCCCCCCCCCAGGCAGATATCATTTTGTGGGATTATCAGAAAAGGGAGCTGATTGCCCGGCTATCCCTTCACAAGGGCAAAATTGAAGCGCTGGCCTTCTCCCCAAATGATTTGTACTTGGTATCCCTAGGAGGCCCAGATGACGGCAGGTAATGAACTCGGCACGTTTACTTCTTTTACACCGGGCGTATTTCTAGCTGTGTCATGTACCCTCCACCTCCGACGTCCTCTGTTGGCCTGTCTACATTCAGGTGTGTGTCTCACGTGAAAAGCCCACGGGGAAAATACTATAGTGTAACAGTCGTCAACCTTAACTGGGTGTTGAAGCCCATGGGGGAGCTTTAGAAAATCACTGGGATCTGGGGGCGCCTGGGGGGCTCAGTCGATTGAGAATCTGACTTGGGCTCAGGTCATGAGCTCACGGTTTGTGAGTTTGGTGCTGACAGCGTGGAGCCTGCTTGGGATTCTCTCTTTCTCCCTCCCTCCCTCTGTGCCACTTCCCTGTGCACTCTCTCTCTCTCTCAAAGTAAATAAGTAAACTTTTTTAAAAATTTTTTACTGTTTTTTTTACTGTTTTTTACCGTTTTTTATTTACTTCTAACAGTGTGAGCAGGGGAGGGGCAGAGAGAGAGGGAGACACAGAACCTGAAACAGGCTCCGAGCTGTCACAACTCGAAACCACGAACCGTGAGATCTTGACCTGAGCCGAAGTCAGCCACTTAACCGACTGAGCCACCCAAGTGCCCCTAAAGTAAATAAATAAACTTAAAAAAAATTTTTTTTCAAGTATAATAAACAAGATTACATTAGTTTCAGGCACACAATACAATGATTCAACAATTCTATGCATTACTCAGTGGTCATCAAGATAGGTGAACTTTTTAATCCCTCTTATCTATCTCTGCCCTTCCCCCCCCCCCCAACTCCCCTCTGGCTACCACCAGTTTCAGTACTTAAGAGTCTGTTATTTGGGTCTTTTTTCCTACATTGGTTTTGTTTCTTGAATTCCACATATGAGTGAAATCATACAGTGATTGTCTTTCTCTGACTTATTTCACTTAACATTGCACCTTCTGGTTCCACCCATGTCGCTGCAAATGGGAAGATTGCATTCTTTTTTGTGGCTTAGTAATATTCTTATATATACCACGTCTTTTTTTTATCCATTCATTTGTTGATGGCCACTTGGACTGCTTCCATATCTTGGCTATTGTAAATAATACTGCAGCAATTATAGGGGTGCCTAGATCTTTTTTGAATTCGTGTTTTCACTTTCTTTGGGTAAATACCCAGGAGTGAAATTACTGGATCATATAGTAGGTCAAGTTTTAATTTTTTTGAAGAACCTTCATGCTGTTTTCGACAGTGGCTGCCTCGGTTTGCATTCCCACCAGCAGGGCATGAAGCCTCCTTTCTCTCCACATCTTTGCCAATATTTGTTGTTTCTTGTGTCTTTGGTTGTAGCCATTCTGACAGGTGTGAGGTGATAGCTCATTATGGTTTTGATTTGCATTTTCCTGATGATGAGTGATGTTGAACATCTTTTCCTGTGTTTGTGGCAGCCATCTTTATGTCTTCTTTGGAAAAATGTCTATTCAGATTCTCTGCCCCTTTTTAATTTTCTGTGTGTGGTGTTGAGTTGTATAAACCTTTTATATATCTGGACATTAACCCCTTACTGGACATGCCATTTGCAAATACCTCCTTCCATTCAGTAGGCTGCTTTTTTGTTTTGTTGATGGTTTCCTTCACTTTGCTTCGGGGGAGTCCCAATAGTTCAATTCTACTTTTGTTTCCTTGCTAAAGGAGACATACCTAGAAAAATGTTTCTATGGTCGCTGTCAAAGAAACTATTGCCTGTGTTGTCTTCTAAGAGTTTTATGGCTTCAGGTCTCATATTCAGGTCTTCAGTATATTTTGAACTTACAGTTGCACGTGGCATAAGAAACTGGTCTGATTTCATTCTTTTGCATGTAGCTTAGCCGTCCAGTTTTCCCAACACCATTTGTTGAAGAGACTGTTTTTAACCATTGTGTATTCTTGTTTCTGTATCATAGATTAGTTGACCATAAAAGTACAGATTTATTTCCGGACTCTCTGTTCTGTTGATCTATAGGTCTATTTTTTTGTGCCAATACCTTATTGTTTTCTTTTTTAACGTTTATTTATTTTTGAGGGAGAGAGAAAAACAGAGTACGAGCAGGGGAAGGTCAGACAGAGAGGAAGACACAGAATCTGAAGCAGGCTCCAGGCCCCATGCTGTCAACACAGAGCCCAACATGGGGCTCGAACTCATGAACCATGAGATCATAACCTGAGCTAAAGTCAGAGGCTTAACCAACTGAGCCACCCAGGTGCCCCACCATACTGTTTTTATTACTACAGCTTTGTAGTTTATCTTGAAATCTGGGATTGTGATACTTCTTCCTCTGTTCTTCCTTTTCAAAATTACTTTGGCTACTCAGGGTCTTTTGTGGTTCCATACAGATTTTGGGATTATTTGTTCTCCATCTATGAAAAGTGTTCGTGTTTTGATACAGATTGCATTGAATTTGTAGATTGCTTTGGGTCGTATAGACATTTTACCAATATTTGTCCTTCCAATCCATAAATATGGAAAGTCTCTCCATTTGTTTGTGCCACATTCAGTTCCTTTCATCAATGTTTTCTAATTTTCAGAGTACAGGTCTTTCACCTCCTCTGTTAAATGTATTCCTCAGTATTTTATCCTTTTTGATCCAATTGAAAATGGGACTGCTTTCTTAAGTTCTCTGTCTGTAACTTCATTATTAGCGTATAGAAATGTATTTTCTGTATGTCCGTTTTCTGCATATTCATTTTGTATCCTGCGACCTTAACCGAACTCCTTTACCAGTTCTAGTGGTTTTTTTGGTGGAGTCTTCAGGGTTTTCTACGTATAGCATCATGACCTCTGCAAACAGTGACAGTTTTACTTCTCCCTTACCAATTTGGATGCGTTTTATTTCTTTTTCTTGTCTGATTGCTGTGGCTACAGCTTCCAGTACTGTGTTGAGTAATAGTGGTGAAGAGACAACAGCCTTGTCTGGCTTCTGATCTTTGAGGCAAAGCTCTCCAGTTTTCACCATTGAGTAGGATGTTAGCTGTTGGGTTTTCATATGTGGCCTTTACTATGTTGAGATATGTTCCTTCTAGACCTGCTTTGTTGAGAGTTTTTATCCTGAATAGATGTCATACTTTGTCAAACGCTTTCTCTGCATCTATTGAGAACAACCTTTTTGATTAACTTTATGCCAATACCATCTTCCTGTGCTCATACGAATGTATCTCATTCTTTGCAGTGACTGCTTTGTACCCCGGTGTCTAGATAATCTGAAATTTATTTGGCCAACTTACTATCTATGTCAGTGCCTTTTGTCTGTTTTTAAATTTTAAATTTGTTTTCTTATATGGTTTTTAAAAATGCATTTATTTATTTTGAGATGGAGAGAGAGTGTGAGCAGGGGAGGAAGAGAGAGAGAAGGGAAGAGAGAGAATCCCAAGCAGGCCTCGCACCATCCACATAGAGCCCAATGTGGGGCTCGAACTCACAAACTGTGAGATGAGGACCCAGGCTGAGACCACGAGTCACACATGCTTAACCAACCAAGCCACCCAGGTGCCCCTTAATTTTAAAGTTGTTTTTCTGGGGGGCACCTGGGTGGCTTAGTCGGTTAAGCGTCCGACTTTCGCTTAGGTCATGATCTTGCGGTTCGTGGGTTCTAGCCCCTCGTCGGGCTCTGTGCTGACTGCCAGCTCAGAGCCTTGAGCCTGTTTCTGTCTGTGACTCCCTCTCTCTCTGACCCTCCCCTGCTCGCACTGTCTCTCTCTCTCTCTCCTAGAAATAAATAAAACATAAAAAAAAAAATTTTTTTTTAAATAAATAAAGTTGTTTTTTTGGAAAACGGAAGCTATGCATGTCCGTGGCTTATAAAGAAAGTACTTTTTGATGTTGAAATGCTTCCCCAAAGACCTTTTTTTTTTTAAATATTCTTTTTTTTTTTTAATTTTTTTTTTTTTTAATGTTTTATTTATTTCTAGGAGAGAGAGAGAGAGACAGCGTGAGCAGGGGAGGGTCAGAGAGAGAGGGAGTCACAGACTGAAACAGGCTCCAGGCTCTGAGCTGGCAGTCAGCACAGAGCCCGACGCGGGGCTCGAACCCACGAACCACGAGATCATGACCTAAGCGAAAGTCAGACGCTCAACCGACTAAGCCACCCAGGCGCCCCCCCAAAGACCTTTTTTATGCGTCATGTTGTATAAGCCCCACAACAAACAATTTTAGGGTATTTTGAAACACTCCACAAAGAGACCCCCATATGCCCTAGCACTCACCACCCCCCCTTTCCTGTCCCACCACTGCCTCCCAGCTCCGGGTAACCACTCATCTACCTTCTGTCTCTGTAGATTTGTCTGCTCTCAGTGTGTCACATAAAAGGGATAATATAACACATGGCCTTTTGTAGCTGATTTTTAAATTAAATGTAATGTTTTCAATGTCCATCCACACTGTGGCATGTATCAATACTTCTTTCTTCCTTGTCAGATAATATTCCATTGTATTATTTTCTTCACATATTCTTCATCTGTCGGTGGATAGGGCTTTGTTTATTTTATTTTTTCAATGTTTTTCTTTGGGGGGGCCGGGGAAGAGGGGCAGAGAGAGAGGAAGACACAGAATCCAAAGCAGGCTCCAGGCTCTGGGCCGTCAGCACAGAGCCCGGGTTGGGGCTCGAACTCGCGAACTGGGAGATCACGACCTGAGCCGCAGTCGGAGGCCTAACCGACTGAGCCACCCAGGCGCCCCCAAAAATGTCTTTATTTTAGCCTCAGATCACTGGTGTCTAGCCTCGTTACCATCTTCCATTGAAACATTTTAAGGGTCACCCACTAAGCTTCTAATATCCAGTGTGATGGAGGAGACGTCTGATGGAGGGGGGTCAGTATAATTCTTTCGTTCCTTTGTAAGTAACCTTCCCCCCCTTTCTAGAACCACTAGTAAAAAACAAAAAAATAAAAACACTGTTCCTTACTATGAGAGCCTATCCCCCCTGACTTTGTTGGGCCCCTGTCGTTTCGGCAGCGTGGTGGTGTGGAGCATCGCCAAGAGGGAAGCCATCTGCGGCAGCCCGGCTGCCGGCCTCAACGTGGGCAACGCCACCACCGTGGTCTTCTCCAGGTGCCGAGACGAGATGTTTATCACTGCGGGAAAGTACGTGTCTGCGGGCCACGTTTTCAGAACCCCGAAGTCACCATGTTTGCCTGTGCACAGAGCACGGCCATTCCGGTTTGTGGGGAACCACGTATTCGTCCTGGCCAATTCCCTTCCACCATAATTTGCATGGTTTTACGGTCCTTAAAGATCCTTCTACCTGGAAGTCTTTTAAATACTGGTCATTTGAACATTCTCTGCCTCCTCCTGAGAAGGGTCTGCTTTCCTGCCCAGCCAATTTCAGGTTCTGGTTGGTTTGTTATCAATAACACACAACCTTCAATGCGCACTCACAGAGGAATGTGCCAGAATGCACAGATTCACTTACAGGTTGACGTTGCTTAGTACCTGCTATTGATTTAGGTCTCTTGAAATGAGAGATTTTTTTTAAAATTTTTAATGTTTTATTTATTTTTTGAGAGAGAGAAAGAGAGAGACACCATGAGCAGGGGAGGGGCAGAAAGAAAGGGAGATACAGAATCCGAAGACAGGCTCTAGGCTCTGAGTTATCAGCACAGAGCCCTATGCGGGGCTAGAACCCACGAACTGTGAGACCATGACCTGAGCCCAAGCCAGACACTTAACTGACTGAGCCACCCAGTCACCCCTGGTTTGCTCTTCATTCGTTTATTGGTTTGCATGTACGTTGCTCTCACTGTGTAGAGAGAGTTCTCACCACGTGTGACTCCTTGCTCTGCTGGTGTTTAGGCTGTGCGTTTTCTCATTCGGAGAGCAGCAGTATCCAAAAAACGACTCAGAGGGTGGTTGGGAGGATTGAGGGAAAGATTTTAAGTACAACCCAAGGCCTAACAAACCCTCAGCAGACCCCGCTCTGTCCCCTTCAGCCACTTCTCCGGGGGAATACAGAAAACAGAGGAGAGATGAGGGGGCTGTTAAATGGGTATCCGTTTGCCTGTGGTTCTCATCCGCAGCGGGACAATTCGAGTATGGGAACTGGATCTCCCAAACAGAAAAATCTGGCCAACGGAGTGCCAGACCGGTCAGATGAAAAGAATAGTCATGAGTATTACGGTAAGTATGGCTTTAAATGCTACTGTCTGTATCCATTGGTACAAATTCCTGTTAACGGCATTGGCCAAGGTGTGCGTGTGTGTGTGTGTGTGTATGCACGCGTGTGCACGCATACATAAGTACGTGCACCTTGGGCTGAGGGTACGGAGGTGAGGTCTGGACATACGGGATGCTGATTTAGGAAGCACACGTGAGGGCAGGACTTACTGCCGACACACAGCTCCGGGAAGGTCTTATTTTCCCAGGATTGGGGCTGCCATCAGACACCAGAAACCCACCTCCCCTGGACAGAAACCGTGTGGCCAGGAGGCATTCAGAGGCTGTGGCACGTCCCCATGCCACTATTCTTATTTCCCAAGTCCCTAACAGTGACACTCATGGTTGAGATGCAGTCTCCTCTACAAAGAGGAATGATTCCTGTGTTTTTAATGTGGACTCGCACATTCATACAGATAACTCCATTCTCCATGGGCTTATTTCTCTCACTAAATGCATCCTCCTTTTATATGGATAGACTTTGGAAAATATGAGATAAAGTACATCCTCTTTGGAGGAGCAAACCTTCAACCCGGGCGCCCTTCGGAGGCGTCTCCGGAATCAGAGCTGGCGGGATATGTATGCACGCATATCTAACACCAGACACCTAGAGGCTTCAGCAAAACTTTGCACGGGCTAACTGGAGTCTCATATTTCCTCCATTTCTGAGTCTGGCCCTGAATCTAACCCCCTCGAAGCTCTTCTTTCCCATCTTAGAGTCTGATGAATTGAAGTAGCCATGAGCACCTTTGTAGGTCTTTAAGGGGGCTCAGAGAAAGTTCGTCTCATCCCTGATGGGGGCTCACGGGCATCACTGAGAAAAAACGCAGGTCTTTATGCCCCTCCTCCTCTCTGACCAGATGGCCAACGACGATAGCTTTTTCTACCTTGGCACCACCACTGGGGATATTCTGAAAATGAACCCGAAGACAAAGCTGCTGGCAGACACTGGGCCTGTGAAGGACAAATTTAGCCTGGTGAGTAGAGACCCCCAGAGTCTGCTCTGCCCTGCTCTTTGCCGGCGATTTCTGCCCACCACTGGCAGCACAGACCTACAGTGAGAGTCTGTGTTCAAAAGAAAAAGTATGTGTTGTACCCAAGGCCACACCTGAATTTGCAAGGGGCATCGACTTCGCCTCTGAGCCCTCCTCTCTGGCTTAGATGCCGAGCAAACGTACTCCTCGGGCGTCCCCAATTAGGGAATCAGACCACAGGTTTTTCACACCTTCCAAGCACAGGGCCTATGGCTGCGTGATTTCTAACCACACTAGTGCCAACATTTCGACAAACCTGTTACCATATATAAGAGAAATGTGCCTTTTGGTCTGTAACACCATGTATATACATACACGTAGACGTAATTTTTGTCCCAATCTCATAACTAGAGCTTAGATTTTAGTGCCAGCCAGCGCTGTAAGCCCTAAGCAAGACCTAGGTGTCAATTTTTATGTTTGCAGGGTTCCTAACAATTCTGGTTAAAAGTCCAGAAAGGGGGCCCCTGGGTGGCTTAGTTGGTTAAGCGTCCGACTTTCGCTTAGGTCATGATCTCGCGGTTCGTGGGTTCGAGCCCCGCGTCGGGCTCTGTGCTGACTGCCAGCTCAGAGCCTGGAGCCTGTTTCAGTCTGTGACTCCCTCTCTCTCTGACCCTCCCCTGCTCACGCTGTCTCTCTCTGTCTCCTAGAAATAAATAAAACATTAAAAAAAAAAAAGTCCAGAAAGGATTTGCTATTTATTTATTTACTTACTTACTTGCTTACTTATTTTTTTTAAACATTTATTTATTTTTGAGAGACAGAGCGTGAGCTGGGGAGGGCAGAGGGAGAGAGAGGGAGATACAATCTGAAGCAGGCTTCAGGCTCTGAGCTGTCAGCCCAGAGCCAGATGCAGGGGTCGAACTCCCAAACCGTAGATCATGACCTGAGCTGAAGTCGGGCGCTTAACCGACTGAGCCACTCAGGCGCCCCTATTTACTTATTATTTTTTAATGTTTCTTTTTGAGAGAGAGAGTGTGAGTTGGGGAGGGGCAGAGAGAGAGGGAGACAGAGGCCAAAGAAGGCTTCAGGCTCTGAGCTGTCAGTGCACAGCCTGATGCGGGGCCTGAACTCATGAACCGTGAGATCATGACCTGAGCTGAAGTTGGACGCTTAAGCAACTCAACTACACAGGCACCCCCAAAACTTTGATATTTAAATCAAAATAAAATATAATACGGTCAAAGGAGAGTTTCCCAGAGTAAGCGCGGCTGTTTCCAGTACCCCCAGAAAGTAATAAGCGCAGTTCCCACTAATCTTTGCGTGTGAGAGCAGATGGTCCTCACTAAGCTCAGGTACTTATCTACTCAGCAGATATTCCCAAGAAGACTTGGAATCCCGCACCGTGTTCGGGAAAGATGCTAGACTTGTCTTAATCATGCAGTCGTTTAATACTCAAGTTTTCAAGGACATGCCTAAGAATGAGAAAAAGCTACAGTATGAGTCGAGAAGGGTTGAGAAATAATGAGATCGAGGTGTCGTCTAGATAATGTTGTCCAGGTTATTTTTAGGAGGGAGATTTCAGTATTTAAATAGATAAAAGTCAAGCAGATCAGTTCAAGGGGGGCGGGGCTCAGAGCCCTGCTGTTTCCATCTCCTGAGCTACTGCCAGAGGGCCCCATAAAACACTGTGTGAAAAATTCCAATCTGGATAGTTTTTGCACCCTCCTTCCCCAGCACTTCAGATCTAACCACCATCTCCCCCCCCCCCCCCGCAGAAAAAAAAAATGTTGGCTACTTTCGTGTTTCTCGAGCTTTTGGTGCTTACGTGCCATCGATGGCGGCACCATGGGTGGTTTACTCCTAACCATGTAGGCCTGATGGTAAATTCCATGAAGCAATGGTTCCAAGATGCCTCTTATACAAGTGGAGAGAAAATAATTCTTTTGGTTTTTTATTTGAGAGAGAGAGGGAAGGAGGAAAGGAGAGCATGGGAGGGCCAGAGAGAGAAAGGAAAAGAGAGAGAATCCCAAGCAGCCTCTCCACGCTGTCAGCACAGAGCCCCACATGGGGCTCGATCCCACGACCCTGGGACTGTGACCTGAGCCAAAGTCAAGAGTCGGGTGCTCAACCGGCTGAGCCCCCCGAGTGCCCCAGAACTCTTATGGGATGAAGGGGTAGGAAGTATCATTGAAGACATTTAGTTGGATTATTATGTGATCTTGGGCAGTAACCCATTTTGAAAACCTACTTAGGGATGCCTGGGTGGCTCCATCAGTTAGGCATCTGACTCTGACTCAGGTCATGATCTCACGGTTCGTGGGTTCAAGCCCTGTGTTTGGCTCTGTGCTGACAGCCCAGAGCCTGGAGCCTGCTTCAGAGTCTCTGTCTCCCTCTCTCTCTACCCCTCTCCAGCTCTTTCTCTCTCTCTTTCTCTCTCTGTCTCAAAAATAAGTAAACAATAAAATGTTTTTTAAATCTACTTAAATGGTCAATCTATGGTTGGAAAGGTAAAAGAATTGGAATGGCGTCAATTGGACCTGTTAGGCACACATGAGTACTAGGAAGACGAAGCTGACGTTGGTCATGATACTAATATTAAAAACAGTACACCATCGACACATGGCACACTGCATGTGGAGCAGAGCACCTTCCTTGTGTTATCCCATTTGATCCTCAACCAGTCTGATGAGACCGGTACCATCTTCATCCCTGCGTCACAGATGAGGACACGAAGGCACATACCCTTCAAGGGCTCATGGCTAGTAAGCAGCAGAGCAGAGATTTGAGCCCAGGCAGAAACTGCGTGCTTGAGCGATATCACTTATGGTTTCAAAACAGTGTATTTGAAATCACACATAGGTGGGCACCTGCGTGGCTCAGTCGGTTAAGCGTCTGCCTTCAGCTTAGGTCATGATCTCATAGTTTGTGAGTTCAGGCCCAGTGTTGGGCTCTGTGCTGACAGCTCAGAGCCTGGATCCTGCTCCGAATTCTGTGTCTCCCTGTCTCTCTGCCCCTCCCCTGCTCACGCTATCTCTCTCTCTCAAAGATAAATAAACATTAAAGATTTTAATATAAAAAAGAAAGGAAATCACACGTAGGTAACTTTGAGGCTCTGTCGAACACTTTATCTCTTGCTTCCGCAAGTCCCCAAACGCAGGTTCAGAATCTTCACTCCCGGGTCATCTCCCTGGGCAACAGGCCAGGCATCAATTGCCTTGTCCTCACAAAGCAGTTCTGATGCTGGGAGAGCCAGACCGGGGGGGGGGGGGGGTGCACGTGATTCTGCCCCACGTTTCCATATTCTGGAACTGTGCCTTCTCCTCTCCAATGTGAAATGCCTTTTGAACTGGAACAGGCAAAACTCAGTGTGATGCAATTCAAAGGGACATGATATTAAATGGCCAAAGCTCATTAAGACAAGCCTGAAAAAAAGTCACTACCTGTATTATTACTGTAAGCTTTACAATGAGATATTGATCATGCACATTTTAAAACTGGAACTTCGTAGCAGGTGCCGTAAAATAACCATCTATGTCCCCAAACTTTGAAGACGGCTTTGAGCTTAAATATGTCCCACTGTGGGTAAGGTGATATACTACAGGCTTTAGTTCAGAAAATACAGTCATCAAACAATGAGGAGCGTGAGAGTTGTAAGCAGAAGAATTGAGTTCTGGGGGCACCTGAGTGGCTCAGTCGGTTAAGCGTCCGACTCCGGTTCAGGTCATGATCTCGCAGTTCGTAAGTTCCGGCCCCGTGTTGGGCTCTGTGCTGACAGTGAGGAGCCTGCTTGGGATTCTCCCTCTCCCTCTCTTCCCCTCCCCCACCCGGACTCTCTCTTGCTCTCTCAAAAATAAATAAACATGAAAAAAAATTAAATTCTGGTGAAAACTCTGCTGAGTAACTAATGTTGCATAGCTGTGCTTCTACCGCTCTCACTTCATTTGAGTGGATGTAAAGTGTGAATGTTCAATACATTCAAGACACACAGCTGGCTTTCCAGGGAGGGGGTTGGTGAAGCACGCTTGTCCTTCCCGGTCCAGGAGGGCTACTTGCGGCACGTGAGCGACTCGTTGGCGCTGGGGCCATGTCCAGCCCAGGGTGCATCCCCGGCCGTCCCTTCCTGAGCTTCCTCCCGACAACACGTGGCAGCACTGACACATCCCCCTGGCCCTCCCATCAGCTCAGGGCCACACACTGACTTCATGATGGGACCATTTGCCTGTCTCTCAGTGCTTCCTTTCCCCCATTAGGGAGTATCTGCTATCAAGTGCCTGAAGACGGGGGACTTGTTGGTGGGTTCCGGAGCCGGACTGCTGGTCTTCTGTAAGAGCCCCAGCTACAAACCCATCAAGTAAGTTCCAGACTCCACGGGCTTGGGATGGGGAAAGACCCATGGGGGGGGGGGTGCAGACTGCGTATACCCAGGGACTGTGCGATGTCGGCCGAGTCCTAACTGGTTAAAGAATTTCATTTTACTGTTGAAATGAGAGGTTGGCATCACGAAAGATGATTCCTTTGCCAGTGAAAAGGCAATAGCTTGTGTCGGATCAAGACAAAGTAGTCCATTAGGACCCAAAGGGGAGACTGCCCTTCTCATAAACACATAAATTATCATTTCGCTAATACATCGAGCCATGGCAGCAAGTAAGATGCTGTTATAAAGATACCCAGCAAATAACCTCAAGTCTCAAACTTTGCAGTCAAATGTGCTACCACTGAGCTGGGCCCCCTCAAATTTCCAGCTATGAAAATTTGTTTTTCCAGTGGAATTTATTATGCAGTGTGAACCTACTGTGCATCAGGCATTGTGTTAGGACAAATACTGCTATGCGTTTGAATACAAGTTTTGATACAAATAGCCAACTACTTCTTCATACTAGATACTATGCCATGGACTCTTCATGGATTATCTAATTAAAATGAAACTAAATAAAACTTTATCCATTGTCCTTACAAGTACTCATCGAGTACCTCTGTCCAAACCAATATGCCAGATGCTATTAACACACAGAGAAAGTAAGATATGGTCTTTGCCCTTCCGGAACATATAGCCTGGTTTGGGGATAAGTTCTATACACATGAAAAAGTCCTTGGAATACAAGATAGTACGTATACACAAATCTCACGGCCCAGATAAAGTAAAACGTGGTATAGATATCACAAAGGACGTCAGAGAAGGGGCTCATCCCACTGGGGTAGTGGGCAGAGGACCAGAGGCAGAATTTGAACTCAGCTTCAACAAAACCAGATGTATGGCCTCTGCACAGTTCTAAGGGAGCCCAAGGTGCTTATACGTGGGCTGTAGGAAGACCATCGGCTGTCTTCATTCAAACAAATCTGGACCGAGCATTTGCTACGTACCAGGTGCTGTTCCAGGTGCACTTGGGACATAGCAATGAACAAAGCAAAGGGAAATGAAGGAAAAAGCTCCGCTCTCATGGAGCTGACGTTGCAGCAAGAGGGAAAAGACAGTCAGTAACAAACAGAGTAAACAAGGAATTGATCGCATTGAAGGACGGTCGGAAGCATGGAGACTAATGGAGTTGGAGGGACAGGAAGGGGTGATCAGAGTTTGGAGGGAGACAGGGGTCAGGTTACAATTTTAAATTCAGTGCCCCCCCCCCATAGGTCTTCCTGAGAATTTATGGGGACTGGTTTTATGTTTGTGTGAAGGGGAATCAGAGAGGGAGACTACTTACGAGCGGTGTTGCTTAGACTCTGGATGTGCGGAGTGAGTGTAAACAATGAGCCCCCTAGTTTTTTAACACCTTGTTTTGAATACACAGATGTCCCTGTTGTAATGAAGACAGTTTGATTCAAGGCACTTGTTACAGGGTCTGTGCTGTATATGCCTCCAAACTAACCTTGTGTGACAGAATAACCTCCCCTTGGGTGCAGCGATTTCTACCTTCTTAGGTTTTTATGGATTAAGAAGTAGTTCCCATGAGAAGTCAGGAGAGTAGTATGATGAAGCAGCCTCGCCCTCCAGAGCCCTGGCCTTCACCTTGTCTTCTAGGGAGCCCACATGCCGATAGCCAGTATTTCCATAGGCTGCTCTCCGGGGCCTCATGTACATGACCTCCATCATCTCTAATCCTCACTGCGAGCCTGCAAAGGAGAAATTATTCTGCGGTTGAGTGGACTGACGCCGGGGGGTTTCTGGTGATTTATCCAGAGTCGCAGAGCTCTATGTAGTTAGTGAAGAACCTGGCCATGTGGCTTGGGGTCAAATCCTTTCTTCATGAACCGTTCTGCATCCCCCAACATTCTTTGAGAAACACAGCATTTCCCATGCTGGTCCCTTGCACAAGAACCCCTGTGACATTCTTATTGTCAAAACTAAATCAGTTGCAGAGCAAGATTGGGTTTTTAGGGCCTCGTTCATTTTTAGATTCTTTTTTTTTTTAAGTTCATACTTGTTCAACATTTGGGAAATGAGGGATCTGCAATGTGGAAGAAGAGAAAATAGTCCCTGAAAGTTCTGGTGAAGAGAGCCACTGTTAACATCTTGTTATTTCTCCTGGTCTCTGTTCTTCCTACATATTTTGAAATAATTGTACATATTTTGTGTATGAAATTCTATTTTCTGGTTTATTTTTACTTAAGGCAAACATCATAAACATTTTCAGTATTAATATATTTTTTAAAAACTTCTGTGGCAAAATATACATCTACTCCATCATCTTTTCAACATGGCTTTGCTGCCAGGGCAAATCTCTTAAGATGCCGTCCCATAGATGATTTAACCATTCCGTGATTGTTCAATATTTCTGACTTTTTACTCTCTTCGTTAAGGTTATACCAACATCATGGGGCACCTGGGTGGCTTAGTCGGTTAAGCGTCCGACTTTTGCTTAGGTCATGATCTCGCGGTTCGTGGGTTTGAGCCCCGCGTCGGGCTCTGTGCTGACTGCCAGCTCTGAGCCTGGAGCCTATTTCAGAGTCTGTATCTGCCTCTCTCTGACCCTCCCCTGCTCACGCTGTCTCTCTCTCTCTCTCTCCTAGAAATAAATAAAATAAAAGGATATACCAACATCCTTTGATGTTCAGGCTTCTCCTCCTCCCCCCCAATTTTAGGATTATTTCCCAGAAGTGGTATTAATAAAGTATTTAACTGCCATGGTGGTGTGTGTCCTATTGCCTGTCTGGAATCCTGTCCAGATCCTGCTTATGGCACACAACCCATTTTAGACTCTCGGTCGCTGAGGAGGCCCCCCCCACCCCACCTGGCCTCTTGCTCTGCTGACCTTGGGCACCCAGTACTGTGAGTCACCCCTGCCTCTCCGATCGCATCGCCTCCCTGAAGGTGTGTCCCACATCGTAGGTCTGATTTGTAGCCTCTGTAATAAATACTCAACTGGTGGAATGACTCCGCTTCACCTTCTTGCTTCTCCTGAAAGGAAAATCCAGTTACAAGGCAGCGTCACTTCTATCACACTTCGAGGGGAAGGGCACCAGATTTTTGTAGGAACAGAAGAATCGCACATTTACCGGGTCAACTTCATGGATTTCAAAGAGACTCTCATCGCAACGTGTCACTTTGAAGCTGTCCAGGACATCGTCTTCCCATTGTAAGTAGGAGAGCAAAGTACTTCTGCTCCTCAGATCAATGAAAACATGGAGGTCTGACGCGGTGTGCCCGGAAATGTAATTTTATCGTGTTAATGCATTTTCAACATCTATTCATATAATTGTGGGTTTTTTTGTCCTTCAGGTTTTCAATTATAGCCAGTTATTTTAATAGCAATTGTAATTTAATATTATTGATTACAGTAATAATTATAAATATAATACTAATCTTTCCTTATTATTTAGTAAGAAGTATTAACAATAATAATTATTTATGTTACCTTTACCATGCCGCTGCATTCGTTTTCACGATTGAAATCTGAGCTTCTTTAGACTGTTAGCTTTTCTAATGAATCCATCATGGACACATTTCTGTTTTCCCAGTGCTGTCTAGAGAGAGCTTAGTAGTGCCTTCTTTCAAATTTCCTTCAATCAAGTCTTCCAGAATTGGCATGCTTAATGGTGGTGTCCTCAGGAGGTCGTCTGGACCTTTTGTTAAATCCCACACAAAACAAGTGAAACAAACAGCCACTGGCAGTTGCGACATCAAAAAAAGTCATATTTTGCCATGATTTGCTTTCGAAATACATTTTGTCTCTGGCAATGTTCATCCCATGAAGCCGATCGGCGGTTTTTGCTCTCACCTTCCTCAGTACGAGCTTGAATTTGCAAAACTCAAAATCATTGTTCTTCAGAGGAAGACTGACTTTGCGAACTCGGTGCTTACCATCATGATATGTGCTTTGGGTTCTCTGATTCACTGAATGTTGGTTCTTCTAAATGTTTCTGAGAGTGAAAATGGCTCGTGCTTCCTACAAAAAAGGAGCTCTTTTTTGAAAAGTGGTTAGCCAAGGGCCCCTGGGTGGCTCAGTCGGTTAAGCGTCTGACTCCAGCTCAAGTCATGATCTTGTGGTTCGTGGGTTCAAGCCCTGCTTCGGGCTCTGTGCTGACAGCTCAGAGCCTGGAGCCTGCTTTGGATTCTGTGCCTCCCTCTCTCTCTGCCCCTTACCTGCTTATACTCTCTCTCTCACTCTCTCAAAAATAAATAAACATTCAAAAAATTTTTTAATTAAAAAAAAAGAAAACTGGTTAGTCATTTTCTTTTCATCTCACTGTTTTCCTCTTGTTTCTAAGGAGCTTGGTAGAATCGATCAGTAAAATTATTTGGCCCCTAGGGCCTTTTGTAAGAGTGGATTTTTAACTATCTTTTCGAATACAGGCTTTGTGACTCTACTCTTTCTCCCCACCTCCTTTTTTTTTTTTAATAGCTTTATTGAAATGTAATTTACATACCATAAAGTTTACCCATTGAGAGTGTGCAACTCAGTTGTTTGTGCATATTGCAGTTGTGCAATCATCATTGTAATCTAATTGTAGAACATCGCATTAGCCCCAGAAGAAACCTGGGAAGAGTCACTACCCTTTTCCTGCTTTGCTCTCTCCCCCTCCCCCCCTGTCGAGCTGTGGAGAAAACTGAGCCAAGAGGTAGAACGTCATGTAAGGGAATGCGCGCTTCCTTTCCTTGCTGATTCATTGAGGCAACGTACATTGTTTTCAGCTGCTATTACTTTGCACATCAAAGCACTGATATATTGGGGGGAAATGTGTATGAGCCAAAGCAACTTCTGTAATATTCTGCTATCACATGTCTATTTGCCAATTGCGTGGGAAACATGCATTGTAGCAAAAGAAACTATCTCTTTTTTTTTTTTTTTCAACATATTGGTATTGTTTACGTGTAGGTAAGTCTTGGTCTTTTGTTAGGATTCGATCCGTGTGTACTAATTTATATCAAATGAGTTTATAGATATTTTCTATTTAACAAGTTTCCTTTTTTCTTGTTTACTTTTCTTGTCTTTTGCTGTGTGGCCATCATGTTTTTCGGTCCTGCCTTCGCCTCCCCTGCTCCATATGACTTGGAAATTATTAACTTTGTTTTTATTCACTCAGTGATTTACCCTTGAATTTCTAATATACGTATTATTTTTCTGCCAAACACCAACATTTATATCATGTTTTCTAAAGAAGAGTCTCAGCATATTTTACTTCCCTCTCATTATCTCTGATGCTAACATTGTTTAAAATTATAGATCCAGATTACATACTTATTATCTTTTACAAATAATTACTTTCAGATTTAACTATAAATTTTGTATTTTGTTTTTATCACTCTTTTTCCCCCCCACATCTCCCTATTTGATTTTTTTTCTATGTCATTCATGGGGCAGAGGATGGGGGAGAAAATTCTTTCAGAGATAGTCTGTGTATAGAAAATTTGGTCCTTACTTATCTGAATATATTTTTGTTTTACCCTCAGACTTCAGTGATAATTTGGCTAGGTATAAAAAGTATGTTAGTGACTTTGTATTGAAATATACTTACAGAAAGTACATAAATCATAAGTAACCACCTCAGCAGAATAACACACCTATGTGACTACCACCCAAACAATAGAATATTTCATTCACCCCAAAACACCCCTTTCAATCACTACCCTTACCTTTTTCCTTAAAGAAAATCACTACCTGGCCCTATAGATTCATTTTACCTGCTTTTGGCCTTCATGTAAATGGAATAATTCAATATTTATTTTGGAGGTCATATTCTTTTTTCTCTGTAGAACCTTTTAATGTTGTTTCTGTCTTACATTATCTTATTCTTAGGGTTTTTTTGTCAATAGTTTTATCATTTACTGAGAGAAGTGTGTTAAAGCCTCAAGCAATGAATGTTGACTTTTCCCTTTATTTCTGTCAGTTTTTGCTTCATATATTTTTGAAGCTCTGTTATTAAGAATGTGTGTGTCTGTGTTTGTGTGTGTGCCTGTGCACATGCACGATAGCATATACATATAAATCTTCCGAATGTATTGACATTTTAATCATTATGAAATGTCCCCTCTTTGTCTCTAGTAATTCTCACTTTGATGTGAAATATGATATTAGTATATTTATTCCAGCTTTATTATTCTTTACTTTTACTTTTGGGGCACCCACGTGGCTCAGTCAGTTGGGCATCCAACTTTGGCTCAGGTCATGATATCACAGTTCGTGGGTTCAAGCCCCATGTCGGGTTCTGTGCTGACAGCTCAGACCCTGGAGCCTGCTTCAGATTCTGTGTCTCCCTCCCTCTCTGTTGCTCCCCTGCTTGCTGTCTCTCTCTCTCTAAATAAATAAACATTGAAAATATTTTTTAAAAATACTTTTCCATTAACATATTGTATCTTTAAAGTTCTTCTCTTGAAACAGCATGTAATTAGTTCTTTCTTTTCTATCCAGTATAAAAATCTCTATTTTTTATTTAGAATGTTTAGTCCATTTACTCTTAATGTAATTTTTGATCTAGTAGTATTAAATCTTCCTTTTTGTTATTTGTTTTCTTTTGTCTCATCTGTTCTTTGGTCTTCTATTCTTTCCTTCTACGTTTTACTTTAATCAAATGTTGTTAGTGTTACATTTTAATTGCGCTATTGGCTTTCTACCTATATATCTTTGCATTAATTTTTTTAATGGCTGCTCCAAGGATGATGATGTACATTTTTTTAAAAAATTTTTTAATGTTTTTATTTATTTTTGAGAGAGAGATAGAGACAGTGTGAGCAGGGGAGGGTCAGAGAAAGAGGGAGACACAGAATCTGAAACAGCCTCCAGGCTCTGAGCTGGCTGTCAGCACAAGCCCAACGTGGGGCTTGAACCCATGAACCGTGAGATCATGACCTGAGCCGAAGTCAGACGCTAAACCGACTGAGCCACCCAGGCGCCCCTGATGTACATTTTTTAACATATCACAATCTGCTTAGAGTTAATGTTGAATTACTTCAAGTAAAATGCAGTCTGGGAACTTTGCAACAATTTATTTCTCTTACCCCTGTTCTTATTCTTAGTGCTTTTGTTTTCATGTATACCTATAAATGCTATAAACCCATTAATACAAAATCATAGTTTTTGTTTTAAAGTCATAAGTCTTTGTCATAAGTATATATATTATAGTATTTATAACTATATTATATATTATAAATATATAGTTTTTAGTTCTTTGTTGATATTACCTATCTGTTAACTTACTGGTATCATAGTTACCTTTTATACTTTGAATGCAATTTAAATAGTAGCTTTGAAGTCTTTGTCTGCTAATCTAATACCTTGATCTACTTGGAGTCAGTTTCTTTTGGCTGCCTCTTTCCTGAATCATATTTTCCTATTTCTTTGCATGTCTTATTACTTTTTGTTGAAAGCTCAGCATAATAGATAATACATATGATCTACAAATACGTATTATATACAGACATATTATCTACATATGTCCTTATCTGCATACATGTCTACATCTACATATAATGCAGTAACTCTGAATTCTATAGTATTCACTGAGGATTATTGGCCTGGACTCAAACTGCAAACTTTGTCTTTCTCATAGAAAGCAGCAGCTGACATTCTTATGGCTTCCCACGGCTACTTTTTTATACAGGTTCTGGGCGAGCCTGTGGGCTTGTGTAATTTAGCATCCTCCCAAGGATTTGTGCAGAGATGAAGTTCATTCTCTCCAAGGTTTTCTTGCTTCTGGATATTTCTCCCTAATTTCCAGGTGTTCTTATGTCCGCAGGCCCTGGCTTCTGGCATGGTAAGCCTGTAAGGTAGCTTTCTGCCCCTCAAGCTGAACACAGTTGGTGAATGTATTCAGTGAAAAAGGCAAAAATAAAACCACCTCTCAGGTTGATCCCATACAGCTCTGTCTTCAAAAATAGAATCCTTAAAAAAAAAAAAATCAATAGAATTAAAAAAAGAAAGAAAGAAAAAGAAAAGTAGAGTTTTTTCTGGTCTCTGCTTTTTCTTCCTCTCGGGGGTTCTCCCCTGCACATAGAATTTAGCCATCAGACAGGAATTTGGGCAGTATTTATGATCTGAATTTAGGTTTTACTCCAGCGGAGCCCTTGTTCTCGCTGACATGCTTTCCCCTTTTAATTTCCCAGGCCTTAACTCTGTTTTTGTTTTTACTTTTTTTTTTT